ATGGCAGGATCCCATCTACTCCTCCGAGTGTAAACACCAGCAACAGTCCCCCATCATGGCAGGATCCCATCTACTCCTCCGAGTGTAAACACCAGCAACAGTCCCCCATCATGGCAGGATCCCATCTACTCCTCCGAGTGTAAACACCAGCAACAGTCCCCCATCATGGCAGGATCCCATCTACTCCTCCGAGTGTAAACACCAGCAACAGTCCCCCATCATGGCAGGATCCCATCTACTCCTCCGAGTGTAAACACCAGCAACAGTCCCCCATCATGGCAGGATCCCATCTACTCCTCCGAGTGTAAACACCAGCAACAGTCTCCCATCATGGGATCCATCTACTCCTCCCAAGTGTAAACACCAGCAACAGTCCCCCCATCATGGCAGGATCCCATCTACTTACTCGGTGGCTTTCAGCAACAGTCCCCCCATCGCTTGGGGATCCATCTACTCCTCCATTTAAACACCAGCAACAGTCCCCCATCACTTGGCAGGATCCCGTCTCTCCTCCGAGTGTAAACACCAGCAACAGTCATGCCTTGGCAGGATCCCATCTACTCCTCGATTATAAACACCAACAACAGTCTCCCATCATGGCGAGGATCCCATCTACTCCTCCGGTGCCTTTTCGTAACAGTCTCCCATCATGGCAGGATCATCTACTCCTCCAGTGTAAACACCAGCAACAGTCTCCCCATCATGGCAGGTCCTCCTCCTCCGAGTGTAAAAGCACCAGCAACAGTCTCCCATCATGGCAGGAGGATCCCATCTACTCCTCCGATTATAAGCACCAGCAGCAGTCCCCATCTTGTGAGATCCCATCTACTCCTCCGAGTGTAAGCTTACCAGCAACGTCTCATCGCGGCAGGATCCATCTACTCCTCCGGTGCTAAACACCAGCAACAGTCTCCCATCATGGCAGGATCCCATCTACTCCTCGAGTGTAAACACCAGCAACAGTCCCCATCATGGCAGGATCCCATCTACTCCTCCGAGTGTAAACACCAGCTAACAGTCCCCCATCATGGCAGGATCCCATCTACTCCTCCGAGTGTAAACACCAGCAACAGTCCCCCATCATGGCAGGATCCCATCTACTCCTCCGAGTGTAAACACCAGCAACAGTCTCCCATCATGGCAGGATCCCATCTACTCCTCCGATTGTAAACACCAGCAACAGTCCCCCCATCATGGCAGGATCCCATCTACCCCGGTACCTCTCCTCCGTACGTCTAATGTCCTGATGAAATTGCTCTCCCTGTTCATCACTAACTGCCCCCAGATTCTCAGGAAAAAAAGTCCAAGTGCGAGTGTAGGAGGTGGACTTTCAGGGACATCCTGTATCCTAAGTTTTTGTATATTTTTTAAGAGGTCCTCTACAAGTTGGTAATAGTTTTCTTCCTTCTTGTTTCCAAGAAACCCCTTGACTACAGATGTGAAGGATTTCCATGCAGTTAGCTCATTTTCATTGTTTGTTTTCAAATTAATCATCATGAAGTAACTTTCTTATCTGTGGGCCAATAAAGATACCCTCTTTGACTTTAGCATCAGTGAACTGTGGGAATTTTCCCCTCAAGTACACGAACCTATCACCTTGTTTGGCCACAGCCTTCACAAAATTCTTCGTTAGTCCCAACTTGATGTGTAAAGGAGGTAGAAGTACATCGCTTGGGTCTACCAAGGGAGTATATTTAACGTTGCTTTTTCCTGGAACAAACTCTTCTCTCTTCGGCCAGTCCTTTGTGTTGTAGTGTTGCTCTGCTATCCCATAAACACAGAAAACAGCAATATTTCGTGACCCCTCCTTGAAGGCCCAGTAGAAGGGCTATAACCTTCAAATCGCCGCAGGTCTGCCATCTATACTTCTTGTATTTAATAGCGGTCAGTATTTTCTCCATACTATCATACGTTTCCTTCAAACCTACAGAATGTGCTACTGGAACTGGGGGCTTCTGGTTACCATTATGCAACAAAACTAAACTTGGAGGAATCTATAAAAGCTGCCATTCCTTTGGGTCATGTTTTTCTCCTAACTCTGTAGAGCGGTGGTTCTCAACCTTGTTTGCTCCATGCACCCCTTTCACCATATGTCAGAATGTCATTCCCCCCTCCTTTCCAAGATTGTCTGTCTCAAAAAGTGCATTCCAAATAATATGCATATAATATTGAAAATCCTTTATTTTTTCCATATTAGTATCAGTTTCCCCCCCCCCCCCTGAAAACCTGAGGGGGGAAATTCCCCTCTGGTTGAGAACCCCTGCTGTAGAGTGAAGATAATGTAATATTTCTTTTCCTATAAACATAAATTATAGTCTGTCTCACTAGCAACTTCCATTCCTGCAATCTTGATGCTAAAAGTTCCACCTGCTGTTTTGACAGACGGAGATCACGTACAAGTTCACTTTGTTCTATAAGATGTGGTTCATTGGAAGACTGTCCAGTTAATGAAAGGAGGATCATGGGATAATTCTGAGATTTCTTCCTCAATTTCCTCATCCGAAGCTGAAAGCTCTTCCAAATAAGCTGGTGGTGTAGGTAGGTATAGGGAGGCTTTCTTCTCTGTGAGGAATGGACCTTATTGCTGAAGGACGAAGCTACATTTGAATGCTCAATTGGGTGAATTAACAGCCTCGGCGTTGTATTCTCTCCATTCTTCTGTTCAGTATTGCTAGTCTTGTATTTAATATATCCTACCAACACAAGTATGTATCTTATTTTCCTACACTACATATACACATATCATAAAAATGTTAAGCGACTGATATTTTTAATTGCCATATTTTAAATCAGCGCCCCAAAATTAATGAAGTGCACCATATTTGATCTATGTTACCGAACCCTGGTCAACTAGTGATCTACAGTACAGTATAATGATTGAATTTTATTTTATTAATGTAATGTTGACTCCCATTATTTATGTCCAAAATGTTTGGTAAAACAAGTAGTGTTCCTTTTTTGACTTGTTCAGTAGTTAGTACAGTATTAGTAAAGCACAATAATATATCAAAACATGATATATATGCCATTGAATTTTCATTACAGTATTTGTTTTATGACAGGTCTCTTGCAGAGACTAGAGGAAGACGTAAATGTTAACACCTATATCGTAAAAGAAAAATTACCCAAGGAACTCTCAGCTAAGGAAAGATATGTGGCAATATTAGAGCGAGTAGCAGCACAGCCTGCCATGGGTCAGCAGGAAATAGATTCAGTGAACAAGCAGGTAATACTACATGTCTCCCTATCCTAGACAGTCTTGCTGGTCAGTTACTTTTTTCTTTAACTTTTTTGTATTGTAATTATAACTTAATATTTGGTGACTTGTTTATATATCAAGATTAAAAGAAACCTTCAGTTTTTTACAAACTCTTTTCCATTTTCATATCCTTTTCTAGAAGTCAATATGAATACAGTACAGTACAGGGGGTCGCCGATACGAATGGGGTTAAACTTTAAATTTACAGTATTTTCTTTACCTGATGACTTATTTTATATTGTACTTTAGTTTCCTGTATTTGTCTTTCTATTTCTTCTGTTGTCTTAAATTAAGTGATTTTAAATGTATACAGTATAAGGATTTAAGAACCCGGGAACCCTATACGGTATACACTACCAGCACAAACACAGGAAAATATGTTAAGGTGAGAATAATGTGAACACAATGAGTTTGATCTAGACTTTGCCACTATGACCTGCTGTTTATAGTAAGCCGGTGCTGGATAATGATTTGAATTTTTGCTTTGATCAAAATTTGTATAAGTGGGGAAGCTTACATTTAATGAAACAGGTATTAAATTAGGATATTTGTATAAGCGAATTTTTGTATCTCAAACGTTTGTATAGCGAGGGATACCAGTACAAATATTTAACCTGGTGGATTTTTGCAGGAGTGGTATACAGTACAGTACAGTATTGATATCTTTACAGATTCGAGCTTTAACAACTGAAATCAATAAATTGAATGAAGCTCGTATGAAAGAAGTGGATGAAGATGACACCCCAGAGAGCAAGGTAAGAAAATTTTTTGTGAAAAAAAGATTGCAATAAGTTATGGTTTTGATTCTACAGGTATTTCTGCCAGAGAAATAAGAGCTACTGTACATATATTTACTCTTTTATGAGTACTGTACAGTACAGTACATGGTGTAATCAGAATTAATCGTGAGAAATTGATTTGTTTGAGGAACAAAATCTAATAGTGTTCCGGTATATATATGACTTGTTAACTGCTTAAATTATGTACTACTAAAAAATATGATAGATATGTGAATGAAACTACAGTACATATATTCATGGTCAGTAACCCATAGAAATCAAAATTTGCATCACACTGGACAGATTCCTGACCAACATTAATAGGTTCTCAACCTAACCATGAAAAGTTCTTAGCCTAACTTTGACAGGTTCTTAAGCATGAATGTTTCTTGGCATGGTCATGGCAGGTCCCCAGCATATACAGTGCAGGGTTTGTGCATTCCAGCATAATAAACCCAGCCTGGCCTGGCAGAGATTGATAATAACATTTATCTAGTTAGTATATGGAATACACAGTCGGTAGTTATCAGTACTGTACTAACTATTCCTATTAATGCCAATTGGTTTTTTATTCTGATGCAGTTATGTGTTTCCTTTATATTTGGCAGGTTGGAAAGTTATCGTTTTTTCGGAAAAATACAGTGATCATCGGCAGGAAGAAGGAACAGACTGCCGAACGCCTCAATGAGCTTCGGGGAGAGTTAGCTAATATTCAGGAGGACATGAGGGTCAGTTACAGTTGTTTTATGATTTCAAGAACATAAATATTTCTGTCTATATTATTTCTGTCTATCTATTATAGTTCTGTCTATCTATAATATTTCTGTCTATCTATTATAGTTCTGTCTATCTATTATAGTTGTGTCTCTATATCTGTTACTGGATTATAGGAAGATTAGCACCTCAGCAAATTTCACATGATAATTAAACACCTTAATGATACCTGGGGTGTTAAGGTTATGTTGGATTAAGTTAGCATTAGTGGGTATTTAATCAAAAGGTGAAATAAGCAAGGGTGCTAATCTTCATCTGAGTCTTGTTATCTTGACTTTCATCTTAATTTAGTGTTGGATGGATTAAACTATCATTATGATGCAGAATTAATATATGGTACATGTTTTCTTTTTCAGGACAAACAAGATCAACTGAAGAAATTTTCAGGTGAACAGGTCCTGCGTGGGGAAGAGTTCAAGCGGTATGTTAATAAATTAAGAGGCAAGAGTTCAGTCTACAAAATTAAACGTGCAGAACTTAGTGACTTGAGAGCTGAGTATGGTGTTCTTAGTCGAACTGAAGAAATACTGAAATCCAAAGATGCACAAATTTTAGAACAACTTGTAAGTATATTTGTGATTAATAGGCTTGATTTACAGATGGAAGAAATTAATTTTGTTCGGGTATGAAGGAGATTTTATGAGACAGTGTTATAAATATTCATTCATTGAAGTTGGGGAGAAAACTGCAAATAATAGAAAAAGAATTTACACATAACATCTGATGTGAACTGGAAGAATTAAAATTATTCTTTTATGATCTCACTTTTTGTTTACTCTTTCTTCACTTTTATTTATGTTAACTGGTGCAGGAGACCTTAAGCTATGGTGTAGTAGTGGTGGTCAGTGTTATTATGATACTGTACACCATTTACCAAGCTGGGTCACTCTCACTTATTTAGGGAGGAATGTACATTGTTAAATTATATGTTCAACAGAAAATTTTATGAAGATTAAATAATATCTGTGAATAATGGAATGTTATAACTTTTATTGATTTGTTATTTTATTTCAGAATTCAGTGGAGTCACAGATGGGGGTGTCAGGTTTCCGTGAAACTCAAGAAACTATGGAAAAAGTTTCAACCATGAAGGCTGAAATTGATGAACGTAAAGGGCAAACACTTGAAGAAATGTCTGGCATGGTTATAGAACTTAACCATAAAATTGCTGAGAGGAAAGCACGTTTGGCTCCAATTATTAAAGGTGAGTAATTTTGAGATGATTACTGGTGTGATATGATTGAAGGGGAGGAACAGAGTGTTGTTGAATCCTCTACTCTATACTGCTGCTCTATGTTGGTGCAATTTATTCTGCAGTGGTTGATAGAGTAAATTGTGAGGCACAGAAAAGTAGACAGGTGAAGTGGTTTGTGTAGGAATGGTGATGTGAGTGATTGTTGTATGAAAGGAAATACCGTAATAGCAAATGGAATTTAAGTAAGATAAGCTGGAAAAAAATAAATACAGTAGAGACAGAATGTTAAGTAAGCTTAACTAGAATGAACCTGTGTAGAGTTTTAGAAAGGCTATACTTAACAAGAATGAAGTAGAGGCTACTTAATACCCTGATTGTGTTGTTTGTGTACTGTACTGCACTGTACTGTACTGTACTGTACTGTACTGTACTGTACTGAACTGAACTGCACTGTACTCTACTGCACTGTACTCTACTCTACTCTACTCTACTCTACTCTACTCTACTCTACTGTATTGCACTGTACTCTACTGTACTCTACTGTACTCTACTGCATTGCACTGTACTGTACTGCACTGTACTGTACTGAACTGTACTGTACTGCACTGTACTCTACTGCACTGTACTGTACTGTACTCTACTGTACTCTACTGTACTCTACTGTATTGCACTGTACTGTACTGCACTGTACTGTACTGAACTGTACTGTACTGTACTGTACTGAACTGTACTGTACTGCACTGCACTGTACTCTACTGCACTGTACTGTACTGTACTCTACTCTACTGCATTGCACTGTACTGTACTGTACTGTACTGTACTCTACTGCACTGCACTGTACTGTGCTGTACTGTAATGTACTGTACTGTACTGTACTATTTATATTTACTGTATATATACCTGTATACTGTATACAGTATATACATCTCGTTTTCAGAATTGCGTCCACTGAGGCAGAAAGTGCAAGATCTGACAGTGGATTACAATGATAAGAAACACACACATGACTCAGTGGCTGCTGGCTTAGACACTAATTTGGCAAAACTTGAAACGGAAGTTAAGGTTTGTGTTTATACTGTATTATGTGGCTGTCATGTGGGACTTGTAATCTGGTATTTGCCAGAATACAGGAATACAGTACAGTACTGTTTACCTCCCTGTTGTTCGCCCTCCGTGCCTTGTCGTTATCCCTCATTTGGAGATAATTTTGCTTAACATTGGGTTTTTCAGGAATGCACTGCCATCTTTAAACAAGGGATACCTGTACAGTATCAGGTCTTGCAGATTTAAAGTGGCTTATACAGTACTGTACTGTATAGTGAGTGAGGTTCATGTACCAACATAAAGAAAGAATCTTGGGGTATGGTTAAAGGAGGTTACTGGTACAGTTAACATACTCCAAGCTTGTACAGGCTGGCTATCATTCACCAAAAATGACCCTTGGAAATGCATGAATTGTAACCCTTCAAAAGTATTATGTGTATACTGTATAGTTCAACCCCTTACTTTTTGCAGAAGAATTTGATCATAGAAACTCTAACTACAGTACAGTATATACTCGAGGATATACAGTACTATACATCAAAATATATATTTATCTAAGCTACCCAAATACAGACTACTGTATACTGTTCTGTACATAATCATTATCACATTTCTTTTTCAGAATCTTTATGATGAGATTGTAAGTTCAGAAACTAAATACCACATATTAAATTCTGAACGGGAAATTCTTAACTTGAAGCAACAGCAAGCAAGTGATGAAATTAAACTGTATCTCTCAAGTGATCCACAAGACAAGAGGAAGTCACTTAGGTGTGTACACTACAGTAATTATAACTTACTCATATTGTTAACACAGTCTTGGTTGCCTTAATGACAATTTTTTCTATATAAAATTTGTTAACACATGACTTATACATTTGTATATACATTATATTTTTACATTGCAGAAATTTTAATGTGTGATGTAATAATTTATAACAGGCATTAGCTTTAAGACTGAGGCTGTGGGGCATTAGCTGTAAGACTGAGGCTGTGGGGCATTAGCTGTAAGACTGAGGCTGTGGGGCATTAGCTGTTAGACCGAGGCTGTGGGGCATTAGCGGTAAGACTGAAGCTGTGGGGCATTAGCTATAAGACTGAAGGTGGCTGTTGATTGGCTCTTGTAAATCTGAGGTGATTATCCAACCAGTCTTACTCAGTCTCAGTCAATTATAGGACTACTAAAGCATTTTAAGTGCATTAATACCTGATCCACCAGAAAGCTAGTACAGTACAGTATAAACAAGGGTGACCTGTACTGATGTGAGAATATGCAGACAGAGACTGTACAGTATTAGAGAACATTCCTGGTACATACTTGAGAGATGTGTGTGGACAAAGGTGTACAGTACTTCTCCAGGTTATTACTGCATACTTTAGTTCTTTCCACTTTCAGGGAGCAACTCATGACAAATATTAGTGAACAGGAGAAGCTCGGCCGAGTATTACGAGAAGAACAAAAATCAGTCAAAGATCTTCTTCAGACTTCTGCGAAGCAACTCAGGATGTGGCAGGATGTTGTCAAGTGAGTTCATATTTAGTAATAATTATGGGTTAAAAGGTAATTCAATAGAGTTTAAACAAGGTTCTCAAAGTTTACTGGCAACCAGTGACATTGTTGTGCCTACCTTATTATCTACTGGAAAAGTTCATTGTTGAACAGGATTGCCAGGCTTATGTTTGCTCTCCCACCGAGGACTTCCACTACCCTATTCTTGATCGAATTACATTAGTTTCCAATTAAAGCAAGGATTGAGTTCAAACTCTGTCTAATGACTTTTAAGACACTAATGTCTGGTGAACCTAAGTATTTGGCCAACCTATTAATTGCACTGACGACACTTTCTGAAATGATTTTGTATAGTAATGATGATCCTTCACACCTTAAGGAGCCTATAACAGTATGAGAATGTTTTTTTGCAGCCCAATCCTTTTCCTATACAGCACCCAGATTGTACAGTCGATTGCCTTTAAAAATGATTTAAGACCTTTATTTTTTTAAGCACATGATCCTTAACAGGGTATGGTGATGGAGAATTAGAGGTAGTATTAAAACTTAGGGTATGTGAATGATAGAAGTTGAACTGTCACTTTTTGTGATCTTTTATTGTATATATTTTTATTCTCAAGTCTCTGACTTTGTAGCATTTTGAGCACTAGTGAATTCTTCAGAAGAACTGGTGCTTTTAAGAAACAAAAGACCACCTATTATTAGTATTGTATATAAGAGTAAAGTTGAACAAGCCTCAGGAACACAACTCATTCATCAGTAGAGGAACACCTGTAGTGTGAACAATACAGTACTGTAATCAAATTGATTTAAAGAAGTTAGATAAGGGAGAGGACCCGGACAAGGTAGATATTGTTGTTTGAGGAACATATACTACAGGATGAACCACCTTAGTCAGTGAACACACCCACCTCACTGGGCTGTCTCCTGCAGTGGTTGTGGATACCCTTGGATACTTAAACCTGGATACTGTGGTTGGTAAATCCTTGGTTATCAAGGGATTTCTGTACTTTATATGATAATATCAGATTACTGGCCATACAGACAGGCATTAGGACTCTTCAACCTAAAACTTTTCTGTGACATTTAAAGAGTTTCAAAATTTCCTGCATTGCTTCCTTGATCCTCCTCTAGTCTTGACATGTTATTACCTTCTACTCTTATGATAGAGTTACCTTCTTCTGTCTGTATGATAGAGCTACCTTCTTCTGTCTGTATGATAGAGCTACCTTCTTCTGTCTGTATGATAGAGCTACCTTCTTCTGTCTGTATGATAGAGCTACCTTCTTCTGTCTGTATGATAGAGCTACCTTCTTCTGTCTGTATGATACAGTACTTGAAAACAAATGAGAAGAAAGAGAATGTCTACTGATCAATGAGACAGTGATTGTGTTCCAGATGATAAAAAGTATTAATTAATGCAGTTTTATTAATTTAGTCTTTCACTGTTGACTTTCAGGCTCATGGAAGTGAAAAGAAAGTGCTTAGATGCAGCAAGAAACTCTGGTAATGTTACCAGAAATAGTGGCGGTGAAGCTTTGGTTTTAACTTAAGAAAGTTCTGATATTTTTCTTTGTGGTTTTGTTGAGTTGTTCTATAACGTCAAATTTATCTTTGAAATATGTAAAATTAGGTTTTCTAATATTGAAAACATGCATTTTGTATGGCTGCTTGTGTGGCAGCTCACACCTCTCACAATGAAGGCCTTATCTCTGACACTGTTTTGTCACATTGTATTTTATATGTTGATGTCATGTTGCCATATTACAATTGAGACTGAACAAATAACATTTACGTGTTACCATGTTTATTGATAACATAGGTACTGTATCTGGTGCACTCAAAGTCTTGAAACTGGTTAACATATTTCTAAATTACAGGTACAGTTTTGTACCTGTAATTTATGAATTACTGTAACAGTATACTGTACTCAACTACTTGTGACTTGATAAAGCTAAATTACAGTGATCTCCCCTAGCAAGTTATTATTACCTTGTACACTTTTTTTCATTTGATACATTCAGTTTACTGTTTGCCTTGGGGGGGGGGGGGCACTTGATGGGTTCAAGTTAAAATGTATATATGTGACTTAGTGCAAATAAATGTGTGAAAAATGGCACAGGAAAAGTTGGCACAACTGTCAAATTACCAGGACAACCTCTTCCTTACTGGATATGTAAAATATTGCATTAAATAAAAATATTGAATAAAGAAAACTTTTAAGTGTTATAAAGGAGAACATTAACCAAGTTATTGTCACCAGGTAGCTCCCTTGGTTGATATGATCAGGTACACTTTAAGTACAGCAGTTTGAAACACTGTGTAGATTACTGTTCTGATGCTCTCAAGGGGCAATGACCAGCTATACCTAAGCTTATGTAAACTTTTGAAACAGATTTCCAATAAGTGTATATTTTAGGCAGGCAAATTCATGTAACCGAAGCACTATGATTACACTGTGAAAAATAAAATGTTGAATATTGAAGGAGTTTTGTTTATCCTAATATTATTTAAGGACTAATATCTCCCTCTGTGTACCTTGCTGGTCATGTCTGTGTATAAGGACTAATATCTCCCTCTGTGTACCTTGCTGGTCATGTCTGTGTATAAGGACTAATATCTCCCTCTGTGTACCTTGCTGGTCATGTCTGTGTATAAGGACTAATATCTCCCTCTGTGTACCTTGCTGGTCATGTCTGTGTATAAGGACTAATATCTCCCTCTGTGTACCTTGCTGGTCATGTCTGTATTTCAAACAGACAGTGTCTTTATTCCCTAAGAAGAAAACACTTTCTTGTAGCTGACTGCTTGTGTCATGAGATATAACACTGTCAAGAGGTTAAATTTATTTATTTAGTGGTACAGTAAACCCTCGATAACTTGGCAGCTGATAACTCGGAATTTCATATAACTGGGCAGGGATATGGTCTCAGAAAATATTGATATATCTGGCCACCTGCATTCACTTACCAAGCCTCTGTGTCACCTTCCATGATGCTTCACTCTTCACCTTTAGTGCTGGTAAGTGTTACTTTTTTATATACAGGTTGACAACCCTTTATCTGAAATTCCGAAAACCGAAAAGCTCTGAAAGCCGAAAGTTTTTTTGTGGAGTATTTTTTTTTGTTTTTTTTTGTTACACAGGGATTAGTCCACCCCGGCATAGATCATTGACCCACATCGGGACCTGGGGGCGAAAATGTAATAGTAATACTAATTATAATAATAATAATTATTCATAGTAAATAAAAATTTTAATAAAAAATACACCAAAATAAATTAATAAAAATAACAATAATATTAATAAGAAAATATAATAAAATTAATAATAATAATAACAATAATACTGTATTAATAAAATAATAATAATAATAAAAATAAAGAATTACAAGAATGAAAAAAGATAAAAAGTGAGAAACACGACCTAGACCTATGACTTATTATTATTATTATTATTATTATTATTATTATTATTATTATTATTATTATTATTATTATATTTTCGCCTCCCAGGCCCCAATGTGGGTCAGTGAGGAGTAAAAAAAAAAAAAAAAACCTAACCATTCTGAAAACCGAAAAATTCCGAAATCCGAAATGCCTCTGGCCCCAAGGATTTCGGATAAGGGATTGTCAACCTGTATAGTAATTACATGTATACATAGTATATGGGTCGATAATTTTTTATTGTATTTTTGTAGGAGGGGTAAAGTGCCTCGATAAGTTGGGATAATTGGGCAAGACTAGAGCTCCATATGTGCCCAGTTATCGAGGGTTTACTGTACTGTATTTATAGTATATGCCCCAAAATTTGTATTCAAATGCTGGAATCTGGCTGACACCCAGTCCCCGCTCCATAATGTAAGACAATCATTAATATACATCAGCCTGACGTCGCTTTGCCATCCTTCTGCCGTTGTATAAAATCGCTAGCAGTTATACGCGAGTCTGATATATGGCCGCTGTTATCCCTTAGTTCTGTTTATCGTGGTATCGGCCCATAATGCCAATGTTTGCCTCATATATTGTGTTTATCATAACAACTTGGTTTATGTGTAATTTTGTTGCTTAGATCTACATTTTTGAGGATGGAAGTAAGTGTTGCTCCATTGTGTTTAGGTCCTCTTGTAGGCTTGGTCATATCTTGTAGACATTTTTGGGTTATCAACAAAGAAGAGGGCCGGCACAAGGGTATTCTGCACCCTAAACAACCCCCTAGTAAGCTAATAAGGGTACTGTATGTTTCTGTACTCCATTGCTGTATTATATTACTGTATCTGGAGTTAGACATAAATTTTCTATAAAAAAAGACTGTACTTACAAGTATTGAAAATAATTGCTGACTATAAACCCGGTATGTAGTACTGTATGGTAAAAAATGTATGATTATAATGAGTGAAAAGTAGTGAGAAATATGGTAGGTGATGTAAGTAGCTTTACACATCCACATTGTCTCTCACTGCACAAGGCTTCGATGGGCCTACTGCCTGAAACATATTAGGGTAAAAGTGAAGCTTACACCAGAGACGTGCTGCTTGTCATCCATTGAGTCGGCACGAGCTTTAATTGTGGCCTTCCTCGGTTGCAGAGGCTTTGCATAAATTTTGCAAAAAGCCGACTGATAGAGTGAGTTGATAATAGATGAAAGGCAGTCTTGTATACAGGGATTGTATTCATATGCATTTTTAGCACTTTTTTGGCAATCTGTTTCTTTTACACTGGATATTTGTCCGGTTGTTGGTTAGGTAGGTTTTTTTAGACTAATACCAGAAGGAGTTGATAGAATTAAACAAAACTTTGTGGAAACTTTAATTACAATCTATTAAAGAGGTATATGGAAACGAGAATCTATTGAGTTTTGTTAGATGTGTTTTAAAAGGTTTTTCTGGTAAGTTACTTTTGGTTGGGTTGGTTAAGTCAAGTTCTAATAGGTTGTGTATGCAATCGTTTCCAATTATCTTTTTAATAGATAGTAATTAACGTTTCCACAAAGTTTCGTCTAAATCTATGGACTCGTGGTGTTAGTCTGAGACCATCTACCTAACCGACAACCGGACAAATAACCCACAGGCTTTTCTTATTGTTGTACAGTATAATAATAATCAATCATGTATTTTGCAACGCATTTATCATGGGTTAATGAAATTGGTTTATTATTATTTATCTTCCTGCAATAAATGCTATACAACTCAAAAATGTTCTCAAGCAAAATTGTTAATGTTAAAATTATACTAGAAATATTAACTTTTACTTTTACCTTTTAATGAAATTTTGCAAAAGAAACCTAACATGAAAAACAATTGGCAGTTTTAATTATCTACGGTAGATTCATTTGGTTAATTTCACCTGAAAAACGGAAAATCAGATGGTTTTTTTCGTGGTAGTATTCTAACATTGGTTATTTGGTGACGTCAGCGGGGCAGTCCAGCAGCTGGCCAACACAACATCTGTGAAGAACATTACCCACTAACGGTACTGCACCTGTTATTACCGACTCAAAATTACTGTTCATACCTTAAAAAAAACTTAGACACAATACCTAGAGTGGTAAAGATGCCCCTTAGCTTCACCCGTCGAGAAATCAATGTTATTTAGTAAGGAAACTGATGTGTTGCATGAGCCTCAGTTAATGACGGGAGAACCAATGCAGTTTATTACGTTGTTAAATATCCTGTTTACGTACTACATTTATTCTTAACTCAACAGAGAAGGGCCAGTTGATATAAAGGACTTCCATCTCAATGTACAGTACAGTATATACAACAATTGTCACCATAATTTATCTGACTGAGTCTTCAGATCTGGCCATTGTTATGTGCCTTTGGTAATTTTTGGTTTATTATTAAGGGAAAAGTAATGTAGTTCTGTATGTATGTATACAAAAATTATTGGGTTTATGGCCTTAGGTTTTTTTCAGTTATATTTCAGCAGATTTTAATATTTTGAACACTGTCCTAACCTAACCTATGGGTAAAAAACTGAAGACACCAAACAAACCTTTAAATACCTTACCTAGCTAAACCTAACTTAACTTAATTTAACCTAACTTAACTTAACCTGAACTAACCTATAAAAATGCAGCCCATGGACTCTGTTTTAACCCTTACGTCCCGGATGACATACTGAGACGCCCCACTAGCACACCCCAGGTGACATACTGAGACGCCCCACTAGCACACCCCGGGTGACATACTGAGACGCCCCACTAGCACACCCCGGGTGACATACTGAGACGCCCCACTAGCACACCCCGGGTGACATACTGAGACGCCCAATTAGCACACCCCGGTGACATACTGAGACGCCCCACTAGCACACCCGGGTAACATACTGAGACGCCCGACTAGCACACCCCAGGTCAACATACTGAGACGCCCGCCTAGCACCCCCGGTGACATACTGAGACGCCCACTAGCACACCCCAGGTCAACATACTGAGACGCCCGAGTAGCACACCCCAGGTCAACATACTGAGACGCCTGCCTAGCACACCCCGGGTGACATACTGAGACGCCTTAGCACACCCGGGTGACATACTGAGACGCCTAATAGCACACCCCCAGGTCAACATACTGAGACGCCCGACTAGCACACCCCTGGTGACATACTGAGACGCCCCACTAGCACACCCGGGTGACATACTGAGACGCCGACTACACCCCTGGTACTACTGAGACGCCCACTAGCACACCCGGGTGACATACTGAGACGCTCGTTTAGCACACCGTGACATACTGAGACGCCGACTATCACACCCGGGTGACATACAGAGGCCCGACTAGCACACCCGGTGACATACTGAGACGCCCATTAGCACACCCCGGTGACATACTGAGACGCCGACTATCACACCCCGGTGACATACTGAGACGCCCGACTATCACACCCGGGTGACATACTGAGACGCCCAGACTAGCACACCCCGGTGACATACTGAGACTGTTTAGCACACCCGGACATACTGACGCCGACATCACACCCTGGTGACATACTGAGACGCCTCGATTATCACACCCCGGGTGACATTGAGACGCCCCACTAGCACACTCCGGGTGACATACTGAGACGCCCGACTAGCACACCCGGTGACATACTGAGACGCCCGACTAGCACACCCTGGGTGACATACTGAGACGCCCGTTTAGCACACCCGGTGACATACTGAGACGCCCACTAGCACACCCGGTGACATACTGAGACGCCACATAGCACACCCTGGTGACATACTGAGACGCCCCACTAGCACACCCCAGGTCACATACTGAGACGCCTGACTAGCACACCCCTGGTGACATACTGAGACGCCCCACTAGCACACCCCGGTGACATACTGAGACGCCGACTAGCACACCCTGGTGACATACTGAGACGCCCCACTAGCACACCCGGGTGACATACTGAGACGCCTGTTTAGCACACCCCGGTGATACTCTGAGACGCCTGACACTATCACACCCGGTGACATACTGAGACGCCCGGACTAGCCACCCCAGGTGACATACTGAGACGCCCCACTAGATACCCCCGGACATACTGAGACGCCGACTATCACGTCGGTGACATACTGAGACGCCCGACTATCACACCCGGTGACATACTGAGACGCCCCACTAGCACACCCCGGTGACATACTGAGACGCCTCCAGCCTAGCACACCCGGTGACATACTGAGACGCCCGACTATCACACCCCGGTGACATACTGAGACGCCCGACTATCACACCTCGGACATACTGAGAGCCCCACTAGCACACCCCGGTGACATACTGAGACGCCCGACTATCACACCCCGGTGACATACTGAGACGCCCGACTAGCACACCCCGGTGACATACTGAGACGCCCGACTAGCACACCCCAGGTCAACATACTGAGACGCCCGACTAGCACACCCGGTGACATACTGAGACGCCTCACTAGCACACCCCGGTGACATACTGAGACGCCCTCACTAGCACACCCTGGTGACATACTGAGACGCCCGACTAGCACACCCGGTGACATACTGAGACGCCCCACTAGCACACCCGGTGACATACTGAGACGCCTGTCTAGCACACCCCTGGTGACATACTGAGACGCCCGTCTGGCACACCCCGGTGACATACTGAGACGCCCCACTAGCACACCCCAGATCAACATACTGAGACGCCGACTAGCACACCCCAGGTGACATACTGAGACGCCATCTAGCACCCGGTGATGCTGAGACGCCCGACTAGCACACCCCAGGTCAACATACTGAGACGCCCGACTAGCACACCCGGTGACATACTGAGACGCCCGACTAGCACACCCGGTGACATACTGAGACGCCCCACTAGCACACCTGGTGACATACTGAGACGCCCGACTAGCACACCAGGTCAACATACTGAGACGCCCGCTTAGCACACCGGTGACATACTGAGACGCCGACTAGACACCCCGGTGACATACTGAGACGCCCACTAGCACACCCCGGTGACATACTGAGACGCCCGACTATCACACCCCAGGTCAACATACTGAGACGCCCGACTAGCACACCCGGTGACATACTGAGACGCCCGACTAGCACACCCCGGTGACATACTGAGACACCCGATAGCACACCCCGGTGACATACTGAGACGCCCGACCACCCCGGGTCAACATACTGAGACGCCGATAGCACACCCCGGTGACATACTGAGACGCCCGACTAGCACACCCGGTGACATACTGAGACACCGACATAGCACACCCGGTGACATACTGGAGACACCCGAATATAGCACACCCCAGGTCAACATACTGAGAGCGCCCGACTAGCACACCCGGTGACATACTGAGAAGCGCTTCCAGCACACCCGGTGACATACTGAGACGCCCGACTAGCACACCCCAGGTCAACATACTGAGGCAGCCGACTATGCACACCGGGTGACATACTGAGGGCACTACTTTGAATTTGACATACTGGGACGCCATTCACTTTAGGGTGACATACTGAGACCTCAGCTATCACACCCCAGGTCAACATACTGGGGCGTAACTACTTTACACCCGGGTGACATACTGAGACATGACTAGCACACCTCGGGTGACATACTGAGGCCTTCCCTAGCACACCCGGGTGACATACTGGGGCCCAGCTACTCTGGTGACATACTGAGACGCCCACTAGCACACCCGGGTGACATACTGAGCCGCATCGCCACCCCGGGTGACATACTGAGACGCCCGTCTAGCACACCCGGGTGACATACTGAGGCGCCCATTACTCTGGGTGACATACTGGACATAGCACACCCGGGTGACATGCTGAGGCCTACTAGCACACCCCGGGCATACTGAGACCCCGTCCTAGCACCCTGGGTGACATGCTGAGACCCCTTGTCTAGCACACCCGGTGACATGCTGAGGCCGGCTTCACACCCCGGTGACATACTGAGCAACGCCCCACTACTCTGGGTGACATACTGAGGCTCCACTAGCATACCCCGGGTGACATACTGAGACCCGTCTAGCACACCCGGGTGACACTGAGACGCCCTACTTTGGTGACACCCGGGCATCCGTCTACTTTCCAGGTCACATATGAGGCGCCCCTGCTTACCCGGGTGACATACTGAGGCAACCCCTCTGGTGACATTCCAGACGTCGCCTATTCGTCAGTGTTTAAATGGCCAGTAGCGGTTCTCAGTTCAATGCGACTATTTGCCCACCACACCAGCCACAGGGAAGTTTCCTGGACAAAATTACCTACTTTTGTTTGTTCCATTTTCATTGTTTGTCTATTTTATCGTGTTGTATCAAAGTAATATTGCTAAATGGTGTAGTTGTATTACTGTAAAATAATGCTATGATTATGGTATAAATGTATTTGTTTGTGGAATTATTATTATTTTATGCATTACTTGCTTTCCACACACCAAGACAGACTGGTGACCAACTGGTGAGTGTTGCCAAGAACTTTTTATGAAAAAGAATGCAAATAAAATATTCTAAATGAATTATTTATAGCAAATAAGTATTGAATCATTAAATATATGCACAGTATTATTGGCCATACTTGGACACATAGGCGAGCTAAAAATAGCTGGTAAGTGTGTAGGTGACCACTAGCGTCAACTGTCCTATATTTCTCCCTCCTCCGTGCACTTGAGAAGTTTATAGAGAGTCAATATATATATATATATATATATATATATATATATATATATATATGCAATAAATCACTGTGGTGCATGATTAGGTATATGTGTAACCACAAGGAAAGAAAAACGGTTCCAAGGCTTTGTGAATTCTTCCTTTTTTTATATATATATATATATATATATATATATATATATATATATATATATATATATATATATATATATATATATATATATATATATATATATATATATATATATATAATATATATATATATATATATATATATATATATATATATATATATATATATATATATATATATATATATATTTAAAAATTTTTTGGAAAAGTTTTGATTTTTCTCGAGTTACCCCCGGATGGGGGTACTGCCAGCGGCACAATAACCCGGGCGTAAGGTTAGCAGCTGTGGCTATCAAGTTAAGTATTGACGAAAATTAGACAAGACTAATTTATAGGTTAATGAATAATAATCCTTTGTGGGGTGAGAAAACCTGCATTATATTTGCTTATGAACATGTTTGTGAATTATTTTTGTATACACAGGATAGCTTGAAAGGCAATGATGCAGGAAGACAGCAATGGAGACTTTGAAATTGTGGACAAGAAGATGACCAGTCTCTTGGTTGCAGGTAAATATCATTACCTTGTATTACATATCTCATTAATCACTGGGTTTGTCTTTAATATTTGGCCAGTAATTGTCTCTCACCTGTACAGGGGGTATTGGCTACCATTAATTCTGACTTGAGGTGATGTTACCATTGATTGTGGCTAAAACAAGGAAAAGATGTATATACAGTGGGGTATACTATAGCAATCTAATTGGTTCTAGAACCGTGTTCGTTATAGCATTCGTTCGTTATAGGATTAATCCGTTCCAGGCCCCCAAATACAACCACTTAACACTAGAAAATATAATATAAAATTGTAAAAATTGTAAAAAAGTGCATAAATATGCATCTAAACCCCTGAAATAAAGAATATCATTAATATTTGTAATAAAAAAACAATAAATTAGAAAAAAAAATTAAAATAATGTTCGTTGTAGGAGTTTCGTTCGTTATAGCATTCTCAATTTTATAGGTAAAACCGTTCGATTAGGAATATTCGTAGTAGGATCCGTTCGTTATAGCATACCCCACTGTATATGTATGTACTATAATGAAACTGTATGGGCTTGTTAGCTGCTTGGGCGGTTGGTTACGTCTCTGTAATGCACTGTTGGCTAGTTCAGTACAGTTCTACTAGCCACACACTGTTGGCTAGTCCAGTGCAGTTCTACTAGCCATACACTGTTGGCTAGTCGGTGCAGTTCTACTCGCCATACACTGTTGGCTAGTCCAGTACAGTTCTACTAGCCACACACTGTTGGCTAGTCCAGTACAGTTCTACTAGTACCACTGTTGACTAGTTCAGTACAGTTCTACTAGCCATACTCTGTTGGCTGGTCAGTGCAGTTCTACTAGCCATACACTGTTGTTCAGTCAGTGCAGTTCTACTAGCCCACTGTTGGCTGTTCAGTATAATTTTACTAGCCATACACTGTTGGCTAGTTCAGTACAGTTCTACTAATAGCCTACTGTTGGCTAGTTCAGTACAGTTCTACTAGCCATACACTGTTGGCTAGTCCGTGCAGTTCTACTAGCCATACACTGTTGGCTAGTCCAGTACAGTTCTACTAGCATACACTGTTGGCTAGTTCAGTACAGTTCTACTAGCCATACACTGTTGGCTGGTCGAGTCTGTTCTACTAGCCATACACTGTTGGCTAGTTCAGTACAGTTCTACCAGCCATACACTGTTGGCTGGTTCAGTACTGTTTCTACCAGCCATACACTGTTGGCTGGTTCAGTACAGTTCTGTAGCCACTGTTGGCGTCCAGTCAAGTTCTACTAGCCATACACTGTTGGCTGGTTCAGTACAGTTCTGCCAGCCGCACTGTTGGCTGGTCCAGTACTGGTTCTACTGGCCATGCATGTTGGCTGGTCCAGTGCCGTTCTACTAGCCATACACTGTTGGCTAGTTCAGTACAGTTCTACCAGCCACACTGTTGGCTAGTCAGTACAGTTCTACTAGCCTTACACTGTTGGCTGGTTCAGTACAGTTCTACCAGCCATACACTGTTGGCTAGTCAGTACAGTTCTACCAGCCATACACTGTTGGCTAGTTCGGTGGTTCTACCTAGCCATACACTGTTGGCTAGTCCAGTGCAGTTCTACTAGCCACACTGTTGGCTAGTTCGATACAGTTCTACTAGCCATACACTGTTGGCTGGTCCGAATACAGTTCTACTAGCCATACACTGTTGGCTAGTTCAGTACTGTTCTACTAGCCATACACTGCTATCAGTGCAGTTCTACTAGCCATACACTGTTGGCTATTCAGTACAGTTCACCACTATACTGTTGGCTGGTCAGTACAGGTTCTACTAGCCATACACTGTTGGCTGGTCCAGTACAGTTCTACTAGCCATACACTGTTGGCTAGTTCAGTACAGTTCTACAGCCATACACTGTTGGCTAGTTCAGTACAGTTCTACTAGCCATACACTGTTGGCTAGTTCAGTACAGTTCTACTAGCCATACACTGTTGGCTAGTTCAGTACAGTTCTACTAGCCATACACTGTTGGCTAGTCCAGTACAGTTCTACTAGCCATGCACTGTTGGCTAGTTCAGTACAGTTCTACTAGCCATACACTGTTGGCTAGTTCAGTACAGTTCTACTAGCCATACACTGTTAGCTAGTTCAGTACAGTTCTACTAGCCATACACTGTTGGCTAGTCCAGTACAGTTCTACTAGCCATACACTGTTAGCTAGTTCAGTACAGTTCTACTAGCCATACACTGTTAGCTAGTCCAGTACAGTTCTACTAGCCATACACTGTTGGCTAGTCCAGTACAGTTCTACTAGCCATACACTGTTAGCTAGTTCAGTACAGTTCTACTAGCCATACACTGTTGGCTAGTCCAGTACAGTTCTACTAGCCATACACTGTTGGCTAGTTCAGTACAGTTCTACTAGCCATACACTGTTGGCTAGTCCAGTGCAGTTCTACTAGCCATACACTGTTGGCTATTCCAGTACAGTTCTACTAGCCATACACTGTTGGCTAGTCCAGTACAGTTCTACTAGCCATACACTGTTGGCTAGTCCAGTACAGTTCTACCAGCCATACACTGTTGGCTAGTCCAGTACAGTTCTACTAGCCATACACTGTTGGCTAGTCCAGTACAGTTCTACTAGCCATACACTGTTGGCTAGTTCAGTACAGTTTTACTAGCCATACACTGTTGGCTAGTCCAGTACAGTTCTACTAGCCATACACTGTTGGCTAGTCCAGTGCAGTTCTACTAGCCATACACTGTTGGCTAGTTCAGTACAGTTTTACTAGCCACACACTGTTGGCTAGTTCAGTACAGTTCTACTATCCATACACTGTTGGCTAGTTCAGTACAGTTCTACTAGCCATACACTGTTGGCTAGTCCAGTGCAGTTCTACTAGCCATACACTGTTGGCTAGTTCAGTACAGTTTTACTAGCCACACACTGTTGGCTAGTCCAGTACAGTTCTACTCGCCATACACTGTTGGCTAGTCCAGTGCAGTTCTACTAGCCATACACTGTTGGCTAGTTCAGTACAGTTCTACTAGCCATACACTGTTGGCTAGTCCAGTACAGTTCTACCAGCCATACACTGTTGGCTAGTCCAGTACAGTTCTACTAGCCATACACTGTTGGGTAGTTCAGTACAGTTCTACTAGCCATACACTGTTGGCTAGTCCAGTACAGTTCTACCAGCCATACACTGTTGGCTAGTCCAGTACAGTTCTACTAGCCATACACTGTTGGCTAGTTCAGTACAGTTCTACTAGCCATACACTGTTGGCTAGTCCAGTGCAGTTCTACTAGCCATACACTGTTGGCTATTCCAGTACAGTTCTACTAGCCATACACTGTTGGCTAGTTCAGTACAGTTCTACTAGCCATACACTGTTGGCTAGTCCAGTGCAGTTCTACTAGCCATACACTGTTGGCTAGTTCAGTACAGTTTTACTAGCCACACACTGTTGGCTAGTCCAGTACAGTTCTACCAGCCATACACTGTTGGCTAGTCCAGTACAGTTCTACTAGCCATACACTGTTGGCTAGTCCAGTATGCCCTACTAGCCACACACTGTTGGCCAGTCCAGCACAGCCCTACTAGCCATACACTGTTGGCTAGTCCAGTACAGTTCTACTAGCCATACACTGTTGGCTAGTTCAGTACAGTTCTACTAGCCATACACTGTTGGCTAGTTCAGTACAGTTCTACTAGCCATACACTGTTGGCTAGTTCAGTACAGTTCTACTAGCCATACACTGTTGGCTAGTTCAGTACAGTTCTACTAGCCATACACTGTTGGCTCCAAAATGTATCTTATATTTTGTTTCCTTCATTATTGTGATTACAGTAATGTTAAAAAGGACATAATAATTGTATTCATTTTCTTATTAACATTTGGAGAAGTTAGCTTTATATATATATATATATATATATATATATATATATATATATATATATATATATATATATATATATATATATATATATATATATATATATATATATATATATATATATATATATATATATTTAGTAGTTTGAGGGACCGAATTAACAGGACAAATTCATTACGATAGGGCAGAGTCAGAATATTCTTAAGTGTGGGAATTTGCCTGGTTTGAGAGGAATGAAAGGATTTTTTAGCCCTTTTAAAACAACGATCAACAAACACAGAAGGGTACCCAAGTTTTTGTGCAATGGAACGAATATGTTTCAATTCATCATCAATAAATTCAGCGTCACAAATACGCAGACATCTTAAGAACATAGCAGTAAAAATTGACATTTTGGTAGACTCCAGGTGATTCGATAAAAAGTGTATGAAACTGTCTACCTCTCAAACCAGGCAAATTCCTACACTTAAGAATATTTTATAAATGGAAGTGTTTATTCTATTCCATGTAGCAAATGTAATGGTAATTATGTAGGACAGACAGGAAAAACATTGCAGCTCAGAATCAAACAACATAAGTACAATATCAGAACAGCATCTGAAAGCAGTGCCCTGTTCGTTCATGTTAGGAATAATAATCATCCCATTGCTTGGGAAAAAAGCTTTGAAGTATTCAAATCATCCTGTGTCACAGAAAGATTTCTGGTTGAAGCTAGTTGATTAAGGAATTAAACTCAATAAACCTAAGTGATGGTCAGTTCAAAACTGATAATATGTTACATAAATTTATTTGTCAGTGGCCCAAGGTTAAAAATGCTTTGAAAACCTTGGATCTAGATGTAGGATAGTTATTTAGTGGGTCCCTTATTTTTGACCTGACCTGACTAGTCACGTCGCCCCCTTCTCTTAAGCTCCTCTACGTGTGTGTTGGTGTGGGGATTAGTGGATGACATCATTATGACCTGACCTCATGTTTAATAAGGTCACCCTATATATTTAAGCCTCTCTCTGTCCATGTAATCCAGTTGCCTCTGAAGATGTCTTGAATAAAGACGAAAGCTAAGGTGCTCCGTTTTTCCCCCATGTAATTTTATCAAGATGTGTGTGTGTATATATATATATATATATATATATATATATATATATATATATATATATATATATATATATATATATATATATATATATATATATATATATATATATATATATATATATATATATATATATATATATATATATATATATATATATATATATATATATATATATATATATATATATATATATATATATATATATATATATATATATATATATATATATATATATATATATATATATATATATATATATATATATATATATATATATATATGCAAGTAAATCACTGGTTATTGTAAGCGCCTTCCGGGTGTTGAAAGGTTAATCAGACTCTTTACGTTAAACTTGAACGTTGTAATTCGGTCAAACTTGTTGAATACAATTCATTTTAGTATTTCAGATAAATCATACATAGGCAATCATGCATAAATGTCTAGTCTAATATATATTCACATACCGAGGTAACAATGACAGCTATGTAATTAGTCTAGTTTTAACACTTATAATGAATACTTAAGTTGCCATATTTCTATGTTGTCACAATGATAACCGATGCAGTGGACACAGTCTACCCGTGTAAACTTAAGTACAAGTTAAACATACGTGTTGAAAGTCTCAAGAGAAACAGGTTAGGAGGTGTTGCCTCTATGATGGGGATAGCTACAGTGCCAGTCCCTGCCCAGCGTCACATGCCCAGCCCTGGCTGGCCGACTTAGCTGTGTCAGGTGTTTATACACAAACAAGCTCCCCTTACTAACACCCAAGACCCCAACCTCCTCTGGGTCTCTCCACCATCTCAATACTTTATATACAGTCAGGCACGCCCAATAAACATGACCTGACTTACAGCCTAACATAATGTTTGTTTATGTCATCCTACTCATTACTGCTTGTGGTAACAGTTATGAATTGTAATTCACTGAAACAATTAGGTCAGCTCCTGCTCTTTATATGGCTTCCTCACCTCACTCACCACCTTGTGTTCTCACTCTGCTTCACTCAGTAGCTACAGATGCCAGTGAGACTACCCAGGACTTTATGATACATATTTGTGCTTTTTCAAACAAGGTTAAATTCCTGTGACACTTGTGCTGTAATATTTGACTGTAACTGTAATGACCAAAGAAAAAAATTATGTATGAATGAGGTGATTTTGTAGTTGAATATGACTTTTATATTTTACTGAATGTGTTTTGGCTCTCCTGTGCTTTCCATTACAGCACAGTATTTGATTTGTTGTATTATTGAGGTGAACATTAATTAAGTATTATTCCAGGTCGTATTCATTGCATGCATTGATAATAGTTCTTGGCCCATTGAAATATTGTTGCATCTCACTTAAACAGGCATATGGCTATGGTAATAATTAAGATCACAGTTTTAATAGTGACCTTAGGGTTTGTATAGTTTGTGTGTACAGTCGGAGTCAAAAGTTCGCTCCCGCCCAATATGAAACGGTATCGACCCCAATGAGATGAAAGTCAGGGTAAGTCAGTTGAGAGACTCATTATCATGATTGAGTTTGACCGCTGGGAGCGAACTTTTGTCCACATTACAAATGAATTCTAGCCCAAAACCTCTGCTCTTGTGTATGGGAGAGAGTTTACTTTAATTAGCAGACCATATATGACCAAGTGTCGTTTAGGATATTCTTACCGCTATATTTTTCATGAAATAAATTTATACTTAAAGATGTTTCCCACTAATATAACTCTTTTGCGAGAGAGTTTGCATGTTTTAGAGCAGTTTAGCCAACCCAAGAGACTGTACAGTGTCAAACATACAACTCGGTGACATAGTTAATTCACATGCTGAAGATTTATGAGTTGGTGTATGAGTTTTACTCTGGCAGTAGACAACCTCAGAGACTGAATTGATTATTAATAACAGATATAAGACACTGAGGAACAAAAAGTTCTCCTACAGCTGGGTACGACAGATTTCAGAATGAGCATTGTGGCTCCTATCATCTCAGAATGGTTGGTATGCCTGGATGTGTGAAGCGACCTAATGTTTCCTAATAATGTATGTTGCTCATCTTACAGGTGAAAATAAGTAATTTAATTTGCAATAAAACTTCCTCAAAGAGCAATGTTCAGATTCCTCGTTCATTTTGTCATATTGTAGAGCATTCGAGAACCTTTTGTGGTGAGTGTATAGTACAGTGGTTTAATTACTCACTGGAGAGCTTGGAGATGATATATGTACAGTGGCTCGCATGTTTTGTGAGATGTGGCAACCCTGTGGAATACTTATCTAGCATCCTTAGTCTGACTACTATCGCGAGGTTTCCTCAGGCCATTACAGAAGTTTTAATACAGTGTAATCAGAGTTGCCACATTTCACAAAATGTGCCAGCTACTGTACTGGGCATAAGTGCTGTACCTGGAGTCTTAAATTCTTTATACCAATGAGAGAAGACCATTTTTAAAGAAGTTATTAATATGTAAGTACTGTACAGTAGTCAGGGTGAAGGAACATGAAACCTCTATTTAATGGATTATATGAAGAGTAGAGTAGAGTCTGTTATATCGAGGGTCTGTTAGATATGTATTATATGGGATACAAGTCCATTATATGGAGGTTTGGCTGTATAGTTCAACTTGTATTCAGTAAGGTTAAGAAATTATCAGAATTATATAATTTCTCAGGACATTGAGGTGATTTGCTTTAAACTTGGAAACTGTGGCTTAATAAACAAGAAGTATGAACGCTCAAGACATGATACACCAGGCACAGGATGTGTTTGATAGAGTCACTCACCGTTCATCTCCACTTCTGCCAACTTTTATGGAAAATACATCTGGTAAAGTTCTGTCTTCTAACATGTGTGTATATGCATACACTATTGAGTATGTATTTCTATAATGTATATTAGTAAGTGCTATAGTGTTTTTTTACCTCCTCCTTGGTTGGTGAAAATACTGGACTGTACCTGTAGTAGTGTAGTATTGTGTAATACCCTGTACAGTATGAAATACTTGACTGTACCTGTAGCATCATGTAATACAGTGTATCTTATCAAATGTTGTATGTTGTATAAATCGAAGTGTATCTTGTACCCAGTAAACAAGTACCATTTTGTATTGTGCAGTTATTATGCTGTGTATGAGAGAGTTGTTATGTAGCCTCTTGTCAGACAGCCTGTTTACTTGTAGACATTGTGAGTGTAAGAGAATAATTAAATAAGGTGCTGAAATTAGTAAGAATATTGATAGAAAAATTCAGTACAGCCCCCCCTCCTCCCCTCCCCCCCCCCCCAAGTTTGCGGATTTTTAATTTGCAGTCCTCTATTATTGGTGGATGACACCCTGGATGTACCCAAGAATGTCTGTGGGTAGTTTTAAAGTTGCCAGCATTTTGCGGCTGGGCAGGGAGCCATTCATTCTAGAAACAATAATTTCCTTTACCTGTATAATAATAATAATAATAATAATAATTAACGGTTTATTGAAAGAGCTTGGCAGCCAGAAGGCTGAAAATATACAGTTACATATTTGGGGAATGGGTTACGAATTACAAATAATATACAAGTGACATAAGTGACACAAATAAGACATATAGTAACTTAGATGGGGATCAGCTCAAACTACAGTTCATTTCAACATAGTGACAGTGTAGGGAGCAGTGTTTACTGGGAGTGAATACACTGATTTATTACATGTTATTGATAATTTTTACAATGGTTGGGACTGGGCTGTTCTTATAGCGATCAGTTCGTGCACGTATGGGCTGGATGCGGTTGTGGTGTCGAACAGCAATTCTCGGACAGGGGATCTTAGGTGGTAGTAGGGGCCGGTGTCGGGGATGGTGTAGAAGCTTCTTACCAAATTTGCAGATGAGGCCGTGGTGATGGTCAGTGAGAGTCGAAAGGGTCAGTGTGTTGAGCGCTTCTTGATATGTGGAGTAGGAAGGGGAGAGAATAATCTTGCATGCCCTCTTTTGCACTTTTTCTAGGTGTTTACGTTGTGTGGCATTTAGGGAGGAAGACCAGGTGGGGGAGGCATAGGTGAGCTTGGGAAGTATTGTAAATGTATGCGTGTAGAGACACACACACACACACACAAAACACACACAAATAAATGATAATTGGAAAATCCTCTCACAATTAATCAAACAAATTTATTAAAAGTGTGACAGTCTCCCCTCAAGTCCGTACTTTATTACATTATTAATAAAGCACGGACTTGAGGATAGACTCACATTTTTAATAAATTTATTTCTGATTAATTGTGAGAGGATTTTCCAATTATTACTTATTTGTATGTGTTTTGTGTGTGTGTGTGTGTCTACACACACACACACACACACACACACACAGACATATTTACAATACAGGTAAAGGAAATAATTGTCCTAAGGGCAAACACATAAAGGGAATATACATTTCTTTGTACACGAGTAAAACTGTAACCCACTTCCTGGTCCGCAAATGTTATTCGCGGATTTGGCGATTCACGGCCATTTTGAGAACCTATCCCCAGCGAATTTGGGGGGTCCCTCTGTATTCTTCATTATTACAGTACTTGTGAAAAAATTAATGAAAGAAAAATTTTTAACTAAAGGATTTTCACTGATAAATGAAAGTGAGACAATTTTTTCTTTTCTTGACTGCAAATTTTTGAAAATATTGGTATGTATGTACAGTACGGTGGTCCCTCGGTTAACGAACACAATCCGTTCCAGAAGGTCGTTCGTTACCCGAAAATTTCGTAAACCGAAACCATTGTTTCAATGGGATTTTGGGTAATTGGTTCCAGCTCACCGAAAATTTACATACAAATTAAAAAAAAAAAATGCAGTAAAGTTCATTTACTTTGAGGTGTGCACGTAGAAGGCTCCTGGTTGATGGTGGTGATGATGGGGATTAGAAATCACCCCATGCTTGATGCCGTCATTTCACCCATAACATTTAGTTCTCTTGGTGTAATTCAAGATTATTTTCTTTAAGTCAACACTGCACTGCACTATATAGTGTCAATATGTAAAATACATTTCAGAATGACCAATAATTGTACTGTAAAAACATAAAAATAGTTTATGTTCAAGAGAGCCACAAGCAAGATGTTACCTCCACTGACTAGAGATACAAACTGAGGCCTTGGTGGGTGAGTCACGTGGCTGATTGGTGCACCAAAAACTAGTTTCCTGTACTGCAATTATGTTAAATAAGTGTTAAAATGACTAAAAATTATAAAATAAAACTTGGAAAATTATTGAATAGTACAACCTTCTTGATATTTACTCAAATGGGAATGAATTTAAGCCCTAAAACGGATAACTATATTGTCAAACTAATACTACAGCTGGTGAGTATGAGAAAACATGTTGACATGATTTCATAAAAATTTCGTTAACTGAGGGACCGCTGTATTTTATTAAGAGTGTTATTTGATCTATTGTCTCTGTTTTCTACCCAGTTAAATTACCGCTATTTTTTGTACTGATTAAAATATATACGGGGAATATGATTTATGAATACGTACCGTGTGCTGCAAAATTGAAACTTATATTGATACGTACTTGTAATTTATTTCCATCGACAATAAATATTCACAGTCCGACTCATAATTCTTCTTACAGATACTTCGTCAAGCACCAGTTCTGTCCTGACAAATGTGGCGCCTCCATCAGCTCTCCCCTCCTTCATAGCCTCCCCTCTATCATCAGGTGCTCTTGTTAGAGGACCTCCACCCAGTCCCAATTCCCCATCACCAGGATCAATGCCCCTCGGTCCTGCAGGTACGCCAGCTGTTGGACCCCCAGTTAGTGCTCTTGGTCTAACCCCGGGACCTCCTCCTCCAAGTGGCCATTCTCCTCCACCAGCCTCAGCTCCTCCATCACTTCCCGGCTCTGGTTCAACACAGACGCTCGAGCCATCTTTTGTTCCACCCCCGAGCCCAGTGACGAGTCAGCCACAGCCACCAGTAAGGTGAGTCTATTATCTGGTGATGACATTTATCACACCATGTTTTTGTTTTGTTTTTCTATACAGTATAATAATTGCAAGGAGATGTCTGACAAGTTTTGTTGTTGATTGGCTCCCTGAGGTGTTCTGCTGCCAGATACTGAAGCAGGAACATTATGTGGATGCTTAATACTGTATATAATTAGAGAATTTTGACTAATATAGTAACATAATTATGATAATTTTTACATATTGGTTTAGAATTGAGACTTACCAAAGCACTCTGTATGGTGATAGTGTACAGCACAAAGCTTATCACTCACCTCATGACTAATTTTCTTGTATTTTTTAGGAATTTATAAGAAAGATTTATGACAAATAAAACCATGTAAAAATATTACAATAGGTTAATTGTGCTTCACTTGAAATATTTTCTAATTTCCATCTGTTTTCTGAATAAAGTGATCAGACCAGTTGTTTTTGCTGTTGTGGCTTATGTTAAGTTAAAGATATCTCAGGTCAGCTTAAAATGTATAGGTAGACTGATTGTAAATGATAAAATCTAAGTTTTCAGTCCCCAAATATATTTACATACTCTAAATGTAAAAGCCATGAGTAATTCCTATACAGGTAGTTCTGCTATAACGCGATAATTGTGTTCTTGTAAAATATCGTGTTATAGAAAATCGCGTAATAGAAATAACAGGGCTTATGGAGAAAATAGGGTTAGGTGCAGATTACTCGAAATCGAAAAAATTTAGTAGTTAGCCTAACACAAAGGATAGCACAGTCTAAATAAATGTTACATTCATATCTAATAATGAAATAATACAGTAAATGTAACACTTTACCTTGAAAAAATATGAATGTAACTTGATGGGGGAGAAGGGTGATTTTGAGGTTGATAACCGAGCTTCTCTTCAAGTGTTATATCCTTTCTTTTACGATCATCACCGGGAATTCTATCACCAGAACGCTTCTTGGAGATATTCTTCTTTACCATATTCACAATTAATACCACAAAATTGGAGAAATAGTAAGCAAAAATCGCGTTATAGCAAACAAGCGTTCGCGTTATACAAATATCGTTCCTAATTCATAAATCGCGTTAGAGCAAATTCGCGTTATCAAAACACGCGTAATAGCAGAACTCACTGTACTACTGTACTGTGTACACACAGATAAAAAAAGTATCGAGCAGGGAGTCTGTTGACTTGTGTAATGATCAACACATCACCAAATGTGCAGATATTTATTTATTTTTATTTACAGAGTATTTTATTTTTTATTCCACCCGGGCACAGGTCAAATGACCCACAGTTACAGTTGCCAGGGCAGTTCTCTTGCGTCATCATAGCAAGCCCAAAGTAGCCAAATGCATGGTATGGTATGCACAGGACTATGTAAAACATAAAGTATTCATTTTTCAAAGTTTATTTATAGATACAGGTACACAAATTTTTGTTCATTACATTTGAAACATCAATCTTTGTTAATTAAATTTGAAACAAAAGAAAACTACGATACCGTACTTCTAAATACCGGGTATTTTCATTAAAATATTACATCACAAGTATATTTTACCTTAACTGTGACTGAATGAATATATTCTCAGAAATAAATATGGAAATGTGATATTTTTGCTGAAATGACGTACATATTACAGTGGAAAGTGGGATAAAATCGTGACGAAAACAATGACTTGCGCTTTCTTTCGTTCAAAAGATGTTACCGTAATCACTTTTTGAATGGTTTAGTTAAAAAACTGTTGTATTACAATAATATTCCCTCCTAATTGACTTGAATAAATACTTGAATGGAAATATATAATATTTTTGTTGAAACTACCCGCATTTCAGTGTAAAGTGTTGTAATAATAAATGGTAAACAATTTGCCTTGGGCACTCGTGTTTCAGTTTATAGGATGTAGAGCGTTTTTACTGAAGGTTTTGTTGTTCGCTTACCCTCAAAAACGTGGGTCGAACTATAAACGAGGAATATCATAAATTAACGATTTCTTGGTCAAAAAATCAGGGTCGACAGATAAACGAGGGGGAGTTTATAGATGAGTATATACGGTACGTTGTCACAGTTTGATTGCTCGTTTTAAAGTGGAGATCACGTGGTCGCTTGTTGTCGCTGTGCAGCTGTGGCGCTCACGCATGCTCACATACACACAAAAGCCCGCTAAAAAAAAAAAAAAAATTAGTTTTCCAAAAGTCCGGATTCTCGGGTGGTCCGGATTTTTGGCATCCGGATTTTTGGACTTTTACTGTAAGACGAAATGCCCTTGATTCCACCCTATCTAACAGTTGAAGAGCCACCCCAGATATGAGAGCAGTACTCCAAGTTAGGACCAATGAATCCCTTATATACTTGAAGCAACTGCTCAGGAGTGAAGTAGCTATGGCATCTGTACAGCATTCCCAGCTTTTGGGAGGCAGCTTTAGCATTGTTGAGGATGTGTGGCTTCCATAACATATTAGAGGAAATGGTGAGGCCTGGCATATCTATTTTAGAATTTGGCAGAATGATAGTGTCCTGAAATGTGATTGGTGGGAGATCATCTCATTTGGATAGTGTTATTGGTAAATACTGAGTTTTATTACTAATGAATTTAACCAAGTTTCTACCTCCCCATTCAGAGATGCTGCACAGATCCGCTTTGATAGATGTAATGATATCAGCTCTAGAAACAGATCTAGTTTGAGAATTAAGGGGAAGGGAAAAATGTGAAGAAGAGTGAAGAGTAGAATCATCAGTGTAAGAAGGTGTTCATATTCAGTTATGCCATCAACTATATACATGGCAGGATATGTCATTAGGAGCAGATATGTGAGGAGACCTTCAGGCAGGGAAAGCAGAACTACCACCACAGTACAACAACACACATATTCCACTATCCCTCGTCCGTGGTGTCATATTGCCTCGCACATAATCCGTGTGGTACTTTTTTTACTGTGCATTATTATTACATTTTGGCCCCCAGACCGGTGGCCCGGGTGGGCAGTGTGTGTATGTGTCTTGTATGATTTTTTCAGCTGATATAAATTAATGACAAATCCCTAAAGTGAAAACTTTTTGTGCTCTCTAGGCAACAGGAGACTATATCTCTGGTTACAAAAGGTCACTTGCGCCACCACAGCTACCCAGTGTATATACCTGGTAACCCAATGCATAATCCACCACCTCCCCCAACACCACCTTGCTTGGTTGTCCAACAAGAGCAAGCAGCTTCTTCTGCTATTAGTAAATCTCATAGTCACCAATACCCACATTCAACTGTTGAAGGGACTTACCACTCTAGGGAACAACCTTATGGTAGTCCACCTTATGTAGATTTTTTTGGAAATAGTGTAAGCTATGGATCTGCTTATCCTCCCCACAGTCAAGGTAGTGTAGATGCTTCTGTTGACCTTGGTTCACCCGGTGTAGGTGGACCATCAGGGAAGCCTGGAGGAAATGGCTGGTTTGGCTGGATTCGTGGCACAGTATCGAGTGTGGGTCACCGTGTTGCTGAGAGAGCAAAGACTTCAATGGATACCATGATAACCACATTGGATCCCCAGATGAAGGAATATATACGTAAGTAATTATTATTATTATTTTAAAGAAAACACTTGTACGGAACATGAAACAGGCGGTTAGATAGATACGCTGAAAATAAATAGGAAATTATGCAGTACTTAATTTACAGATTCTGGAGGAGATATGGATATCCTTGTAGCGTCAGACAAGGAAATCAAAGTTGGTGGTGTCAGGGAAGCCTTCCAGTTTATGTTTGGCAAGGCAACTGTAAGGTCAGTAAACATTTATACTCTACTGGTATAGATATGTTAGATTTCTTAAATATTACACTGCTGTTTGTGATGGTTTGATAAACATATACTGCACTGACTTCAAATGTTTTATTATTATATGGGAGGAATATCTAATAAGTGGTACAGGTAATCTCCAGTTACAAGACTAAAAGATTGTTTATGTTCATCCCAAAAGTGAAGTACTGTACTAGCAGTAGTTACAGTTAGCATGTAGCAATGAAATGTAGGATTAATTATATTCTTACAGTGGCATGGCAGCTCAGGCAGAGAGTGTGGCTGCTCAACCAGTCGGGTTTGAGGCGGCGCTGCACTCCGCCGAGGAACGGATCAACTCCCTTAGGACGTCAGGACGTGTACACCCACAGCAGCCCGTTGTGTCTGTTGAGAACTTCATAGTTGAACTTACACCTGATTGGTAGGTTATTTGAGATCACATTACTATAGTACCAGTGTATATTTGTGTGGCAAGGGTAGATGTAGGATACTGTAATGGTAGATTTAATGGTGTTGCTTTAGTTACAGGTTGGAGAGGATGTCGTGTTAGACTTTAGTTATTCTTACAGTACAGTACCATCTCTCTCTCTAGGCCAGGGGTTCCCAACCTTTTACCACTGTGACCCCATCTAGAGCTGTCATCTATCCAGTGTGACCCCTAAGCCACTGCCATGGCCTGTGGGTGGTGTATATACAGTTTATATATATATATATATATATATATATATATATATATATATATATATATATATATATATATACACACACACACACACACACAGTGAACCCTCACTTTACGCGGTTAATTCAACCCCGGCGGCCCGCGTAAAGTGAACAACATAACATATGGGATTAATTGAAATAGAGACCGGGCCGACCCCCAAACTCCACTTTTTCAGACACAATACCTACGTTGTAGTAAAAATAACTTCTTAATTTTATGATGGTATGCACACACAATTAATAATTAAGAGAAATATCAATAATATTAGGTTTTTTTAACACTTACATTAGTAGAAAAGATGGCTGGGCACACTGGGATGGGGGGTTGGTTCCGAGGCAGAGGGCAGATTATTGGCCCTCACCTGTATCACTTGTATCAATTGTATCACTATCCACCACAGAGGCTTGCAGGGCCTCTTTGTCAAACCCCTCAAAGTCCATATAAGTCCATATCCTCACTATCATTATCACTATCACTGACTTGGGCCGGCTGTGATGGGTGGCGGGTGAAGAACTCGGTAATGTTTTGATGACTGGGTGACCTTGTGCGCACCCTGCTCTCGCCGCTCTCCGCGTAAAGGGGTACATGCACCGCGGAAAGTGAGCATTCCGGTTTCGGCAGGGTACCGCGTAAACGTGGAAACGTGTAATGTGGGACCGCGTAAAGCGAGGGTTGACTGTATATATATACAGTCTGCCCTTAAAACATACGCGGGGGTTAGGTAACAGATACCCATGAATGTTAAAAATCCGTGTACTTTTGCTGCAAAAAACCCTGGCCCCCCATGTCCTTATTTACCGTATATACCTGTGTGTAGTTCGAGTTTTTAAGACCAAATTATTTGGCAAAAAATTGGAGGTCGACCTCTAAACGGGTAATAGTTTCGTTAGGTTGAAAAATATTTACCAGTAACTACCAGTAAACAATGGAAACAACGCACCAACGCACCACCAGCTCTGAGTGTCGGTACAGTCGCCAGGGCAGTCTCTTGCGTCATCATAGCTAGCCCAAAGTAGCCAAATCCATGGTATGGTATACACAGGACGATGTAAAACAAAGTATTCATTTGTTAAAGTTTATTTATAGATACTGTACATACATTTTTGTTCATTACATTTGAAACATCAATCTTTGTTAATTAAATTTGATACAAAAGAAAACTACGATACCGTATTTTCATTAAAATATTACATCACACGTATATTTTACCTCAACTGTGACTGAATGAATATATTCTCAGAAATAAATATGGCAATGTAATATTTTGGCTGAAATGACGTACATATTACTGTACAGTGGAAAGTGGGATAAAATTATGAAAACAATGACTTTTGCTTTCTTTCGTTGTTTAAAAGATTTTACCGTAATCGCTATTCGAATGGTTTTCAGTTAAAAAACTGTTGTACTGTACTCTTACTGTATTACAATAATATTCTATCCTATCATTAGCCTTATAATCCCACAACTGAAAACCATTCGAAAAGCGATTACGGCAACATCTTTTGAACGAAAGAAAGAGAGAGAGTCATTGCTTGTGTCACAATTTTATCCCACTTTCCACTGTAATACGTACATCATTTCTGCAAAAATATTACATTTCTATGTTCTCAGAAATAAATGGTAGTTTTGTTGAAACGTAATGTACAGTACAGTGACCCCTCCGTTAACGAACTCAATCCGTTCCAGAAGGTCGTTCGTTAACCGAAAAGTTCGTTAACCGAAAAGTTCATTAACCGAAACCATTGTTTCAATGGGTTTTTGGGTAATTGGTTCCAGCTCACCGAAAATTTCCTAAATTCAACAAAAATGGTAGAAAAGTTCACTTACTTTGAGGTGTGTATGTAGAAGGCTCCTGGATGATGATGGGATTTAGAATGGGGGTGGAGGAGAAGGGAGAAGAGAAGGCATTGGGGGTGGAAGAGAAGTCACCCCATGGCGCCATTTCACCCATAAAATTTTAGCTCTCTGGTGTAATTCAAGATTATTTTCTTTAAATCAACACTGCACTGCATTATATATTGTCAATATGTAAAATATATTTCAAAATGACCAATAATTTGCTTGGAAACACAGAAAAAAGCGTTTAGTTGAAGAGAGTCTCAAGCAAGATGTTACCTCCAGTGAAAACAGAGAGAGACTAACTCCTGTTTGCTGTGTTAAGAGGCTGGATGCCGCGCATTAAACTAGTCATTTTACCTTCAATTATGTTCAATAATTGTTAAAATGACTAAAAAATTGAATATTATACTTTTAAAATTATTGAATAGTATAAACTTCTTGATATTTACTAGAATAGTAAGGAATTTAAGCCCTAGAACCGATTAATGTATTGGCTGACTGATACTAAAGCTGGTTGCCTGGTCAGTGCAAGTGAAAACATGTTGAAGTCGGTAAGAACTTCGTTAACCAAATTTTTTTCGTTAACCGAATTGAAGATCCTTATGGAAGGCAGTTCGTTAATCGAAATTACGTTAACCGAGGTGTTCGTTAAACGAGGGGTCACTGTATTGACAATATAATATGCAGTGCAGTGTTGATTTAAAGAAAATATTCTTGAATTACACCAAGAGAACTAAAATTTTATGGGTGAAATGGCACCATGGGGTGACTTCTCTTCCACCCCCAATGCCTTCTCTTCTCCCTTCTCCTCCACCCCTATTCTAATTGCCATCATCATCATCATCATCCAGGAGCCTTCTACATACACATCTCAAAGTAAGTGTACTTTTCTCCCTTTTTTGTTGACTTTAGGCAATTTTCGGTGAGCTGGAACCAATTACCCAAAAACCCATTGAAACAATGGTTTCGGTTAATGAGTTTTTCGGTTAACGAGCAACCTTCTGGAACGAATTGTGCTCGTTAACTGAGGGACCACTGTATCCTTTCCCCTCATGGTGGAGTGCAATGCAATCAAGCAGTTCCTCAACTACTGAGGACTCCTTATGAAACCTTCCAAAGATCAGAAGCTGCGGCTGTGATGTAATATCCGTTGACTCGTCCACTGCCGTGCTGTCTGAGGGGAATTTCTGAAGCCTTCCAACATTTGCTCCTTCAGGTCTGCACTGGATGTGTCTTGTTATTGTGTTATTACTCAAAGTACAATCTTCAGCAGCTTCAGTTATCTTCTTGGAAAATAGTTCACCCTCAAAAATATCACAGGAGTTTGTAGGGGTATCGAGATATTAATGTTGTCTAGCACTCAGGATGGAAGGAAACTCTAATGTGGTTTTCTTGTATGATATAAGTTATATGATAGACAGTCTGGTGCTGGAGGTGCCGTGTGGTGAGGGGCTGCTCAATAGAGACGTTCGGTGAGTAGCTTGTTGAAGGAGGTAGATGTGCAGGAGCTTCATTAGAGAAGATGTTGCCTGTTGCTGGCCTCCTGATTGAATGAATGTTAACAGCGTGGAGCTTGCTGGAGGAGGTGTTGCTTGTTCAGGAAGATGGGCAGAATGAGAGTTGGTTGGTGAGGAAGCTCAGAGAAGGACAGCTGGTGGGTCGCCATGCTCGCTGGCAGGAGCGAGGACTGCCAGGCAGGCGAGGAGAAGCGAAGGGAGCCAGGCAGCGGCGGAGGAGGAGGTGTTGCTTGTTCAAGAAGAATGGTCAGAATGAATCTCAATGGAGAGACAGCTTATATACCCAGCAGCCGCTATGAGTCATGTTGGGAAAACCCGAGAAGTCGCCGGTCTTTTGGCTCGGTTGCTAGGATACGGCGGCATTGGAATGCGGATACGCTTGGTTGCTAGGGAAGACGGTAGCAGCTGGTGGCTGTGGCTACGCAGTTGTAGGCAGTTGTAGGGGAGACGTCCACTACAATACTCCCCCTTCCCTCCAGGCGGTGTAGGAGACTTGTTGTCGGTAGAGTTGCTTAGCACATGTGAGGCAGACCGGGCGGTGCATGCCTCATGTGAGACAACGGCGATGGCGTGATGAGCCGATCGCTGAAATACAACTGTCTAGATACACACTATCTGTGGGAGAAGGGAGAAAAAGGGTGTGTGGAGGCGATGAATGTTGTGCTCCCCTCACGACAGGTACAGGGTCGTCAGATGTGCCTGCTGGGGTGTGTGTGGGCCTGGGTCAGGAGCAGGGGCTGCGTCAGCAGAAGCGGATTAGGGCTCGTGACAGCAGCTGAGTCCACGACAGCAGCAGGGTGCAGGACATTAGCAGGGAGTACCTGAGGGAGAAAAGAGGGGGTGTGGAGGCGATGGATGTTGTGTGCTTCCCTCACGGCAAGTACTGAGTCGTCAGATGCGCCTGCTGGGGTGTGTGGGCCTGGGTCAGCGTCTGAGGCAGGACGGGTGTGCTGGGGTAGTAGGATGTGGTGCTTGGGGCAGGAAGAGGAGCCGGTGTCTGCTTGAAGACTGGGAGCGTGATCAGTGTCTCCTCCATCCTGTGTGAGTGCTAATCTCCGGGAGTCACCATTGTAGGGGTATCGAGATATTAATGTTGTCTAGCACTCAGGATGGAAGGAAACTCTAATGTGGTTTTCTTGTATAATATAAGTTATATGATAGACAGTCTGGTGCTGGAGGTGCCGTGTGGTGAGGGGCTGCTCAATAGAGACGTTCGGTGAGTAGCTTGTTGAAGGAGGTAGATGTGCAGGAGGAGCTTCATTAGAGAAGATGTTGCCTGTTGCTGGCCTCCTGATTGAATGAATGTTAACAGCGTGGAGCTTGCTGGAGGAGGTGTTGCTTGTTCAGGAAGATGGGCAGAATGAGAGTTGGTTGGTGAGGAAGCTCAGAGAAGGACAGCTGGTGGGTCGCCATGCTCGCTGGCGGGAGCGAGGACCGCCAGGCAGGCGAGGAGAAGCGAAGGCAGCCAGGCAGCGGCGGAGGAGGAGGTGTTGCTTGTTCAAGAAGAATGGTCAGAATGAATCTCAATGGAGAGACAGAGCTTATATACCCAGCAGCAGCCGCTATGAGTCATGTTGGGAAAACCCAAGAAGTCGCCGGTCTTTTGGCTCGGTTGCTAGGATACGGTAACATCTGGTTGGTTGCTGGGGAAGGCGGTAGCAGCTTGGTGATGCCGCTACGCAGTTGTAAGCAGTTGTAGGGGAGACGTCCACTACAAGTTTCTTAAAGCTGGCTTAATGACGATCTCTCCCTCCGTGAAAGGACGTTTCTGCTGAGAAATGAGGAAAGGTGTCTTATTTGAAAAGATTTCCATCTTTTCTTTTTGAGATAGAGCTCTGGTCAGAACAGACCGAGACTTAGTCAAATTGTTGCAACGATGATGAAAAATTCTTCTGCGAGCCTCTTCCGACAGTACAGGAATGTTGGCGTGAGTTTCCGAGTGTCTCTGTAGTTTATTCGGCTTTAAGGCTTCTTTAGCAAGTTCCTTAGAACACATGACACACATCCCTCTACATCAGCTACACCATACTTGTCCAGGAAGGCTTGGTGGATGGTTCTGACGACTGCAAAAACTTGTCCGTTATTGCCTGTAAAATGAAATGCACTTTCGTATATCTAAAAATTAAATATTAGTCATTTTTACAAATACCTAAAAATAAAACACAGTATCACAAATACATAATTGCTAATGCACAGTAGCCAAATTATAGAGCGGTAATTTTTGTTTACCAAGTCAGTAAAACAAACAGAATGCACATAATTTACATTGCAGGAATTAACTTTGCACAACAAATCAAATAGTCAGCATCATATATCTGTAATTTTCTTGTGCATTCAAAGAATGCACACTGTAATAATTTTCTGTGCATGGTAATAAACCAAATACAATAAGAAAGCAGAACTGTAATTACTAAGTGTGTTATGCACACATTTAACAATGCAGGGTGTGCACAGTAAAAATTAAATCTGTAGTAGTAATTGTGATGAGTACTGTGTGAATATACTTAATTCACAGCACTGAAATTACTAATACACATAAGTAAATAACACAAATGAATAATTAATTATATTTGGCACTAAAAGAATTGACACAGTTTACAGTTAACAGAGCAGATACATCACTGGATATTGAAGTTGTAAAGTGCAAATAAACAAACCTGACAGGTGAATGATATGTCCTCATCCGTGGGTAGCAGAGAGTGAACTGAGCTGACAGCAGGTCAAAGGTAGGAGTGTGGAGCTTCTGTTGCTAAATTTGTTGTCAGATCAAGCCTGATCTACGGAGAGTAACCCCGTTAATCCCTCGGCCATAATTTAGGGTCCCGACTTAACGAGGTTACCGGCAGGAGGCGTGCACCTGTCAGCCACTCCTTAAAAGAATTAAGTCCTTGACGCGTCCAACCACCGCAAGACACAAGGGACTCCGGCGATCTCATGAGCTCTATGCGACCCTTTATGATGCGTCCTGCAACCCCATTTGCGACCTCGTGTTTGGGAACCATTGTTCTAGGTGAAATCCACTTCAAGGTTGAATGTGAAAATCAGATAATTATTTGTAATTTTTTTAAATTGAATTGACATATCATGTTGCTTGTGTTATATTACCTTGTTTTGGAGCAAGGCAAGAGTTGAAAGTACTGTAGTGGGAAAAGAGGTGAACACGTGCAGTAGTATAATCATACTAAATTGTTCTTACCCTAAACTTGCGATGGCTGTTTACTATGTGAAATTTCAGTGTCCATATTGCCATGGTGTTATCAATTAACTATCCCTGTGTTAATATGATTCATTTATGTTTCAGCTGGTTTGATGTTGGGTTATTGCTGCTAGATGACCCAGGAGAGGACATCCTCCTGCAGACTTACACACAGGTATATATGCCTACCTGCAGGTATTCATTAGGAAGTCTTTCAAGTGGATATAACAAACTTCATTCTTGGATCATATCTCTTATTGACTACAATAATCTCTACATTAGCCACAATCTTCAAGCCTCAGAATTCTCTAATAGCCAAAATTCTACTTTATATATTCACTTATTTATTTTTTTTATTGAGCATTGCCAGAAATTTTGGAGAAATTCTATCCATTCTGGACATGGGAATGAATTTCAGAGGATTCCATCTTATGCATTTCTGGAAAATGCACACGATCAGATCAGGGTGGTAACAACACACAAGCAGGGTTGCGTGCTTTGAGACCTTACTGTATTAATAATTGCAGGTGACTCCCATCCCACCAGACTTTGTAACCCAAGCCAAGAATTCTACACCAGATGATTACCCCTACAAGAGTTCAGGGTTTGCAGCAACAGTCGGTCAAATTGCCAGCCAAAATCTTGAGGTACAGATGTTTTGATAAACCATTGTTATGTCTTCCACTTAGAGACTCCTGTATTGTAGCTTAATTTTACAATATTCTCCTAATTTTGTATTATTCACAGTGATTTTTTTATTTGAGAACCCTAAATGATTACTATATTTAAAGATATGTAATCAACAGTAAGCTATTAGGAATAAAGTCTGATCATATCATTGTGAATAACATTAATATTCTCCACAGTGACCTGACTCTAGTTATACTGATTTTAAAGTTCATCTTTATTGCATGTCCTAAATTATAGTACGGGGCTGCCTCACTTATCGCAAAGGTTACGGGCATGAAACTCGTCGTGAATATCGGAATTGTGAATAGCGGAGCAATTTGTCCCATAAGAAATAAAGTGAACGGTCATCGTCACGGCCGTCTAACACTTGTTTTACTCAATACTTATAGAACATAAAATAGATAAAGAAACAAGGGCATAATAAACATCAATAACAAACACTTTGAGTTTATTATTACAGTATACTTTTCATGTTTGAGAGTTTATGTGTGTGAGCTAAGTTTTAAACGTAGACTGTTAATTTACCTCTGATGTGTTGTGTTGCTGCTTACTGAAGTTGGCATTAGGGTAGAAGGTGAAGGTTTACTGGGGTGAGAGGAGGCTGGAGTCGTCAGCCACCTCACTGCCAGGGTTGTCGGCCACCTCACTCTCATTATCACTCAATTTGCACTGAAAGCTGTTGTTCTCCACTTGTTGAAGGCTGTGATTCACTTGTGAAGGCTGTTGCTTTATACTGGTCTTGAACAGCTCCTAAAAGCTGTGTTCTGTTTGGATGTACAGGAGGTGGTTGGGGCACTGGGGGTTGAAGGTTTGGCCCTGATAAATGCATCAAGAGTCATTTGTTGTGCATTCTTCCTCTTCTCCTCAAGCACCTCATAGTATGCACGTTTGTCTTTCTTGACATTGCAGATGTTAGTGCAACTTCGGTCAATATTAGGGTCCATTTCTAATGCCATATCCATCGCCATCTCAATTGAAGAAATCGGCTTCCTTAGGTTCCGTACAGTGAGGAGTTGTGTTGGAGTTTCATCTGCATCTTCTCCCGCTGCAAGTGGCATTTCTTCCTGCTGAAGCCTCTCCAGTTCTGTCAGGTCTTCATTGGTAAGTTCTTCATTGTGAGAGTCGAGGAGGTCTTCTATGTCAGCGTCATCCACTTCATCGAATCCAGCCTTCTTTGCAAGAGTCACAATAGTCTTCCTTATTGCAGGCACTGAAGGGAAACCAACTGAGTTGTGCACACACTCTGGTCACAGCTTATGCCACATGTTCTGTTGTGTTATTGCCTCCCATGAATCACTGATGTTTTTATGGCTTTCCTGATGTTGTAGTGTTTTTTCCAAAACTCCCGGATTGTAGGTTTCCTTCTCTCTGTTGGTCCCCTCAATCAGCTGCTTCTTGATACACTGAGTGAAGAGCGCCTTGAATGTAGAGATGACGCCCTGGTCCATGGGCTGCAGCAAAGCCGTGGTGTTGGGTGGCAAAAACACAACTTTAATGTTCTTACACCAGTCAACCTTAGCTGGTGGAGGACCTGGTGCGTTGTCGATCACCATCAGAGCTTTATCGTCAAAATTATTTTCCTTATAATAGCGACTAATGCGACCGGACACACAGTTGAACATGTGGTCGTGGAACACAGACCCTGTCACCCACGCCTTACTGTTTGAACGCCAGATGACGGGAAGCTCTCCCTTCACACCCCCCTCAGAACATGGGGTGTTTCAGACCAGTACACAAGGAGAGGCTTTAACTTCAGGTCACCCTCAGCATTTCCACCAATCTATAGAGTGAGGCGGTCCTTGGCAACTTTGAATCCCGGTGCGGTCTTTTCCTCCTTAGGTATGTCAGTCCGTGAAGGCATTTTCTTCCATAAGAGTCCGGTCTCTTCCAAGTTGAAGACTTGCTTAGGACTGTACCCACCCTTCTTAATTATGGTTGCGAGAAACGGTGGGAACTTCTCTGTTGCGTCATGATCGGCACTATCTGATTCTCCTTGTATTGTTAGGTTGTGGATGGATATACATTTCCTAAAACTATCAAACCATCCACGCTTGGCACTGAACTCAGATACGTTGGGTTTGTCTTTAGTTATATCTTTCCACAACGATCTTGCCTTCTGTTGAATCATGCGTTGCGGTCAAGGTGTTTTAAGGCGCTGGGTCTGGTCGTCAATCCATGTGCTCAACATCCGCTCCATACTCTCCATCTCGGCATCACGGAACCTCGTCACCTTCGTGGCCGTCGGTGGTGTTGCAGACCCGGCCATCTCCTTGATCTTGTCGGCTCTTTTAACTATAGACTGCACCGTAGAGGGAGCCAAGCCGTGCATGCGCCCAATCACTGACATTCCTTCTTCGTGTTCAAGTCTTTTTACGATATCCAATTTCACGTCCAACGTAACTGCCACACGTGATCTCTTGGCAACATTGCCAGGAGTTTTAGTAGCTGGTCACTTAGGCATTGTGAGATCACACAAAACACACACCAGCACGTGTAAGACTGAGGCGAGCCGGAGCGCATGGCGGAGGAATACGTACACATGCTGTCCTACGCTATCGTTGAGGCACGAGGTTCAAAATTTTTGCTGGTAAGAATTTGGAAATAAACGGGGCAACCATTGTGAATAATGGAAATGGGTAACAATAAATTGATTGGTGATACACAGGGTCACGAGGCTACGAATAGCGGGGTTTGCCTGTACTTTAGTTAGGGTTCTTGAATAAAGAAATGACATTGTAGTGTTGTGTTACTGTTAATAAATCTGACATTTTTTTATCTGCCTCACTCCACGAATTCTTCCTCCTCCTAGAATCTTGCCAGTCTCCCCTCGGAATTGGAAAATCTTTCTTCACTATCAAACTATGGACCCAAACCCCTTATCTGAGTTGTAGAATTATGAAATACTCTAGTCAAAAATAAACAAGCTCCTTCTCCTGTCTTGTTCTCAGTGGTGTTAATATTTCCTTGCTACTGTTGACTTAGTTTAGAAACGTATTTGTACAGTGAGTTCTGCTATAACGCGTGTTTTGATAACGCGAATTTGCTCTAACGTGATTTATGAATTAGGAACGATATTTGTATAACGCGAACGCTTGTTTGCTATAACGCGATTTTTGCTTACTATTTCTCCAATTTTGTGGTACAGTGGGATATGCTATAACGAATCTAATTGGTTCTAGAACCTTGTTCGTTATAGCATTCGTTCGTTATAGGATTAATCCGTTCCAGGCCCCCAAATACAACCACTTAACACTGAAAAATATAATATAAAATTGTAAAAATTTTAAAAAAAGTGCATAAATATGCATCTAAACCCCTGAAATAAAGAATATCATTAATATTTGTAATAAAAAACAATAAATTAGAAAAAATTTAAATAATGATCATTGTAGGAGTTTCGTTCGTTATAGCATTCTCAATTTTATAGGTAAAACCGTTCGTTATAGGAATATTCGTAGTAGGATCCGTTCGTTATAGCATACCCCACTGTATTAACTGTGAATATAGTAAAGAAGAATATCAACAAGAAGCGTTCTGGTGATAGAATTCCCGGTGATGGTCGTAAAAGAAAGGATATAACACTTGAAGAGAAGCTCGATTTTATCAACCTCAAAATCACCCTTCTTCCCCATCAAGTAAAGTGTTACATTTACTGTATGATTTCATTATTAGATATGAATGTAACATTTATTTAGACTGTGCTATCCTTTGTGTTAGGCTAACGACTAAATTTTTTCGATTTCGAGTAATCTGCACCTAACCCTATTTTCTCCATAAGCCCTGTTATTTCTATTACGCGATTTTCTATAACACGATATTTTACAAGAACACAATTATCGCGTTATAGCAGAACTACCTGTATTGCTAATCTTCTTTCATATTACAGTGACCCCTCGTTTAACGAACACCTCGGTTAACGTAATTTCGATTAACGAACTGCCTTCCATAAGGATCTTCAATTCGGTTAACGAAAAAAAATTCGGTTAACGAAGTTCTTACGAACCGACCTCAACATGTTTTTGCTTGCACTGACCGGGCAACCAGCTTTAGTATCAGTCTCCCAATACATTAATCGGTTCTAGGGCTTAAATTCCTTACTATTTTAGTAAATATCAAGAAGTTTATACTATTCAATAATTTTAAAAGTTTAATATTCAATTTTTTAGTCATTTTAACAATTATTGAACATAACTGAAGGTAAAGTGACTAGTTTAATGTGCGGCATCCAGCCTCTTAACACAGCAAACAGGAGTTAGTCTCTCTCTGTTTTCACTGGAGGTAACATCTTGCTTGAGACTCTCTTCAACTAAATGCTTTTTTTCTGTGTTTCCAAGCAAATTATTGATCATTTTGAAATATATTTTACATATTGACAATATATAATGCAGTGCAGTGTTGATTTAAAGAAAATAATCCTGAATTACACCAAGAGAGCTAAAATTTTATGGGTGAAATGGCACCATGGGGTGACTTCTCTTCCACCCCAATGCCTTCTCTTTTTCCTTCTCCTCCACCCCCATTCTAAATCCCATCATCATCATCATCATTATCATCATCATCATCATCATCATCATCATCATCATCATCATCATCATCATCCAGGAGCCTTCTACATACACACCTCAAAGTAAGTGAACTTTTCTACCATTTTTGTTGAATTTAGGAAATTTTCGGTGAGCTGGAACCAATTACCCAAAAACCCATTGAAACAATGGTTTCGGTTAACGAACTTTTCGGTTAACAAACGACCTACTGGAACGGATTGAGTTCGTTAACGGAGGGGTCACTGTAATTATATTCTCATTTTACCATCAAGATTCTTTTCCCATATAAACATTAATGGCCATATCGTGTTTTTTGTTCATCACATTTAATTTTTCATTATTGCTGATTTTATTTTGTTTTTTGGATTAATAACTAAAGGTGTTTTGACTTCAGGTGCATCATACAATGTGGCAAGAAACACTGACGGGGGTGTCAAGACGGGAGATGATAGTCCTGGCTGCACGAGCTCTTGCTGGGCTCTACAAGTCCAGATTGCCTCATTTTCACTAATATAAATGTTTTTTTTTTTTGGCAGAAAAGAATGAGGAGAATTCTTAAATTAATAATAGAATAATGCCTTAAGTAAGATATCAAAATACTTAATAGAACATTTCATTATGGCACTGTTACACTCAGTTACCTTGTAGTGCTTAATGCAGTGATATCATATTAAGATTACAGATAACTTTAACTTTTTTATACAGTACAGCAGGAGGTTCTATATAAAGAGTTCTCAACTTGACAAAATGATTAATTTCCATAATATATTTTTTCATTGTTATAGATTTATATTAAGTCTTAGTAAAAACACCTTTTTAATACATATGATCTTGAGAGCAGCCACTTTATTGTCACCCACAGATGATAGGTTGACTACATTGTCCGGCGTGTGTTCACTGGTTGTTTATGCTTCATGGTAAAATATATCATGTTCTTATGGAGGACAGATTTATATGTTTGTGAGAAAGAAATTAGCATCATATTCTGATATGTTGGGTCATTTTCACTCTGTGGTGGATTATATCTTATTGTATGTTGGGTCATTTTCACTCTGGGGTGGATTATATCCTATTGTATGTTGGGTCATTTTCACTCTCGGGTGGATTATATCCTATTGTATGTTGGGTCATTTTCACTGTGGTGGATTATATCCTGTTGTATGTTGGGTCATTTTCACTCTGTGGTGGATTATATCCTGTTGTATGTTGGGTCATTTTCACTCTGTGGTGGATTATATCCTGTTGTATGTTGGGTCATTTTCACTCTGTGGTGAATTATATCCTATTGTAGTTTTTTCATAATATATTAAAGAAGAAGAGGCAGGTACTGTACTGTACTGGGTCATTTTGGGTAACAGTTGTTAACTCTTGAGTTAATCTCTGTAGTCAGCAGTGTTCTTGTGTCTCTTTTCTGGTACAGTACTGTACTCTAGATGTCAGAATATTGTTTTATCTGTAGGAAAACTGTAATCTCATTACTAATCAAAACATCCTTGTGTGTTACTAAATAACTTATATTTTCTTTATCATTGCAGAATTATTACTATTATTTATGGTGTTCTCTGTTGGTTTGGTGTGAAGAGTTAGTCATTCATAATTTTATCAACTAAATTCTACAAATCCTTGCAACAGTATGACAAACACTTAGAGAAGGTACATTGACTTCACATAAATTAGCTTTTTTCATTATTTAATTTAGTCAGAGGAGTTTTGAAATTACAGCGTGGCTCCTGAAATTCGCTGGGGATAGGTTCTCAAAATGGCCGCAAATCGCCAAATCTACGAATAACATTTGCTGACCGGTGTTACTTGTGTACAAAGAAAGGTATATTCCATTTATGTGTTTGCCCTTAAGACAATTATTTCTTTTACCTGTATTGTATATATGTGTGTCTACACACATACTGTATATATTTACAATACAGGTAAAGAAAATTACTGTCTCTAGAATGAATGGCTCCCTGTCCCAGCCGCAAAATGCCGCCAACTTTAAAACTACCCACAGACATTCTTGGGTACATCCAGGGTGTCATCCACCAATAATAGAGGACTGCAAATTTGGGGGGCCCTATATTCTATTAATTATTGTGATGTTATAAGTTAAGATGGTAAAGATTCCATGTACTGTGTAAAAATTAAACTTATATTTACCCTGTGAGTTGTATTATTTTACTGGATGCCAGAAAAAATTTCAGGTGCATAGATTAAGCATCTCTTCAGACAAGACAAGATCTCATAGAGACATTCAAAGTCTTGAAAGGGATCCTTCATGACCTGTCAACTACAAGTGATTTATGTTCGTATTTACAGAAGAGCGAAAAAAATACTGGTACTTATAACTAAATTAAGAAGTTGTGTCAATTTTATTAGTTAATATGATATTATGTCATTTGTTGCCACCCAAAGAATTTTGATAATTTTACGGTTGCAATCAGTACTGTATCGTAAAACCTCTGCTAGCCTGAGGAATACGTGTACACAAGTTTGTGGTCACTGTTTTACCAGACGGGATAAGAAAAAATAAAGGAAATTTAAAGAAACTTGTGAATTATGTTTTGATTTTCACTGGGCTGGGCAGGAAGCCATCACCCATTACAGGTGTCGTCCAATGCTTAGTACAGTATCTTTATTAAATACAGTAGAAAAACAATTAATCGTTTCCCATTATTTGCAGCCATCTATCATCTTGTGGTCTGCAGTGCATCAAATTATTCCAGCTGGCTCAGCTGCATTCAAGCTGACAGGACTAGTAGGAATATTTTCGCCCAATTTTCTTTGAAAAAAAAAAAGTCCAGAAAAAGGAATACTGTACAGCATTTAGTTTTCTAGTTATCCAGCTAGCAAAGATTTTACTTGGAGACAAAGTTGTTTATATTAACCTGTATCAGAACAGTCCTTAAATTAGTTACTTTAAACATAAGTTGAACTTGATCCTTATTGATGTGAAAGCACATTGCAGTACACAGTATGAGTTTAATAAATGGTGCCTAAACAACAAAGGTGAGAGTTTAGCTCTTCAATCTTCTACGTAAATGACAAAATATACAGTACAGTACAGTACCTGTACTAAATTAAAGTACTCTACTGTGTGCCTGTCCAGGATAAAAGTCTGTATAAGTGAAGATGTTAAGAACTGAGGATCAGTCTTATGGTTATTGTCTCATAAATATAAAATTACTGATAAATTTAGTGAATATTAATTTTCGATCGTTTAATATGATGTGGCTGGAAATGTGTAAATACTCTCTTCATTCGTTATTACCCACAGCATTCACTCCTATAAGAGATGTGTTCTTCCAAAGTTGGGTGTATCTTATCGCTTCATACAATCTAACAAAACGTCCCTCCTGAAATATAACTATGCTGTACTGTGCTTCATATTTACATGCACACACTTGCTTTCAGGATGTCCATTTCCCCCACTTTTATTTCAGCCCTCGCCTTATCCTTCCATCTGGGATATCCCCTCTCCCTACTTCTGTACTATGCTTCTACTCATCACTGGAACAGACCCTCTTCCTTATTTATGTTTTTCCTGTTCCTACTATCATGAACATGCTCTTCATTCTCGTCTATACAGTAATGTTGATTCAATAATTATCGTTGTACATCTCAATTATTGCCATTTAAATATTCCCACAATGTTCCTCAAAATGCTCAGACCAAATATAACTTTCTCAAAATAAGTACAGTAAAGTATCACAATAGATCAACATTAATGTAAAAGGATATCCATGAAATAGAAACATATTTTTTTATTCTATCTTAATGCAAACACATTCTATTATACATTAATGTACAGATTAAATAAATTATAAACTTTTGTTATTTTTGTTTTAGGTGCGTGAGGCCAAGAGTGCCAAGCCTCGTACCTAGTGAAGCAAACATGGCGGACTTGGAGTGTAAACAACGATTTGACAGTCCAGGAAACAACTGGCTGAGCCCTTGGTAAGACATTTAATAACAATATTATATCAGATATATAATAATTATAATGCCAAGTGCTTATTATATATAATATTGTGGCGAGATAAAACGAATTTAATGGTTAATTTAGTAGATTATGTTGGGTCGTCGTCAACACAGGTGTGGGGTCATCAAGCACAGGTAGTGGAGTCGTCAAGCACAGGTGGACATACTGTATCGTGTTATTTATTATCCTCTATAACAAAAGTCATGATAACTAACCATATTTCTGTTGTTTATTACACAAGAAAAAGATTCCTAGGTGAATTTTTACTTTCTGACAAAAGGAAGGTTAATCCATTGACTGTCCGCAGGCCATGTTTACCTGAGGTTATACTCCTCACTAAGCCCGTGTTTTCTCTTCATTTCCCTAAAAGTTAGGTTAAGTTTGGTGGGTTGGCTTTTTTGGTATAAGAATAAGTTTTCTTTCGTGTGTACTTTTGGTGTTTGATTCAAATCTGACGTTCATTTTTGTGCATATATAAACTACTAATAATAATATACACAGGTACTGCAGCTGATTGTTAGCACCAAGGTGCACACTACTCTTGTTAGGTAAATGAGATCCTTCCCAGGGATTCATACCTGGACTATTTCTGTGTCCAGTATCATTAGGTAGCGACCGTGAGCTATATGTAAAGCGGCAATAAATTGACCAACCGGCAATAGTTGTGCATCTACATGACTAGACCTGCATTCACTGAATCGGCTATGAGCCGATCATTGGTAACAGTGAAAGCTTGCACAGAGGCTTCAGTTGCATGCATGTTAGTTGATTACTTTTTTTACTGCTGTTTAAGACTGTGCAATGGCCCTATTCTGTTTCATGACTGCTTCTGAAACTGCGTTCATTCGTTTCCCTAGTTTAGCTACATCTTCTGCAGTTGCCGTACCAAATAGGGTGTTACTTAATAACTCGACAAAATTAAATAGACCACGGTTTTTATGAGAATGCACATTGTTCCTGACGTCTTCAGGAGTCGTGGGCAGCTTTCCCTCCAAGTGCATACACATTTGAGTAGACGCTTCATATAGGCGTTATGAAGTGAGATGGTAGACTGTTGTTTGAGATCTTGTGTACTTATAGCTGTTTCAATGTGAACAGCTATTGACCTCAGGCATATATCACTAAACTTTGGTGCTGGTACTTGACAGTTACGACATCTTCCACTATAAGTACTTTGCTCAGTGGGGCAACTAAAGCTTTGGATTTGATGATGTTTGCTGGGGATGCAGCTGTTGCCACAGCGTTCCATGCCAACAGGAGTAGCGATATCCAAGCCATGCCTGAAAGGGGTGAGGATAATTAATGTTTTTTGTTTGCTGATCACAGTTTTTGATGATATTTATTGTCTATTGTTGTGATGTATTGTTTATTGTTGTGTTGAGCAACTGTCGTAGTAGAAGTAGGCTGTAATTAACGGACATTAGGGGTCCCTACTAAGTGTCTGCTAACTTTTATCATTCTATCTACATGAACTATGTCAGTGACATTTGTCGTTGGGTCAACTACATGAAATTTGTTTCCATGTTCTTTTCCTTTAATCAGGTAGGGACCTGTGAATTTAGGCAAAAGTTTTGATGTACGTTCCGGTGCTTTTGTCGTTACTGCGTCTCCTATTTTTGGAGTTACAGGCTTGGGTTTTTATGTTGCTTGCAGATCATTTCAGCACGTGAGGCTGTTAATTGCTTTTGTACTTTTTCATGAATGCTGTGAAAACATTGATTTGCTTCTTGGCATGGTCATCCATGTTGCATACAGGTTGTGGGGTTCCTGCTAGTTGATCATAGAGCAAGCATCTATTGGCACCATAAATTATGTAGTATGGCTATTTTCCTGAAAAGCTATTGATAGATCCATTGATGGATTCTGCTACTTGTGGAAGCCAGTCCTTCCAGGAACTGTGCATCGGATTCACCACGTGTCGAAGAATCTAA